TAAATCAATAATAAATTCATAACTATTTATTTTTAAAGATAAAGAAATTTAATCAACTTTAATTATCTAGACTTTTATGTAAAATAAAAAATATTACTAGTAATAGATGGATGGATTAATCTATAATAAGCTGCTTTTATTACAGTTATTATATATTTTATTAATTCTGACTGGAAGTATTATAAGATGTTATTTAAATTTAAATCTCTAAATATTAATTATAATAGTAATAATCTAACTAATATAATTCTTATAATTCTTAAATACCAATGTCTGACTGGTCGTGTTATTATTATTACTACTAATAATACACGCAGTAATACATCAATAATAACCAAAATTCTGTGATATATAAAAAAAAGATTTTGAGATTAATATTCTTATAATATATTTATAAATCTATTATTTCAGAGTTTCTGCAGCTATCAGTACATATTTTATATTTTATATATATACTGCAACTGGCTTTAAAAGAATTACTATTATATCTTTCTGTTCAAGCTGAGAATAATAATATTAAAATTATATAAAATAAAAAAAAATATTAAACTTTAATCTAATAAAGTACTTTCTACTTTAATTCAGAAGATATATTTTAACTTAAATCAGAAAATTACTTAAATAAAATAGTTAATAAAATTAAATTAGAAAAATTTATAAATATATAAGTCCTACACGTCAAGAGAGCTTTTAAAAACTGAATAATAATTTTAAACAGTTTTTATTTTATTAAGATTATTAAATTTACTAAAATTTAATATATTTTATATTAAAACAAGCTGTACTTTTTAAATATACTATTAATAACTATATTAAAAAGAGTCAACTGTTATTAATTATTTATAATTAATAATAAAATAATAACAGTAATTATTATATCTTCTAAAATTTTTATATTTTTTTCATATATTTATACTTGCTTTATTACAAGTCAGAGAACTAACTACTTATAAAATAATTAAAATATATAATTTTATTTTTAATCATCTCAAAGATTCTTAATAACATTTAAGAAGAAAGACTATTTTATAATAATCTGGATTATATATTAGAAAAACTAAGATCTTATTATAATCATATTCATAATAATTAAGATTATTTATATATACTTATAATAATACTTATATTAAATTTAAAATTACAGATTTTCAATACTTCTTAGTAGCAGAATCTAATATGTGATTATAGCTCAGTATATAAAAAAATTCTTAAGAATATATATACTAAATATAAATTTTAAAATTATATTTAAGTTTAATTAAATTTTTTTAGCAGCTTCTCTATTCTCTTATTTAATAAAATTAATTAATTAGTTTAAACGGCTTGTATATTCAGAATTTATTATAATAAAAGATTCTATCTCTGAGATTAAATATTATTTATAAAAAGAATTAATCTAAATAAAGAATATTCTTTAATTCTAGAAAATAAATAAATCATAATTTTCTATTCTCAGTTATATAGTATGAGATATTCTTACTATTTCTATTAGTAGAATTAAAGTTAAAAGACTTTTTAATTCTATTTAAAATATATATTATTATTATTATTATTAAAATTATCTATTTTCTGATATAATCAGAGCTTTGATACTTCGGATATATAAAGAAAAATTTTAATTATAAATAAAATTTAGATAAATTTCAGAGAATATAAGCTCAACTAATTCTTCAGCTAATAATAAATAAATAAAGATATTAAAAGAAGAAGATCAGTAAATAAAATCTTCTAATTATAATATTAATAATACTGATAAGTCCAATGATAATTATAAAAATAATAATAATAATATAGAAAATTTTTAATATAAATTTAATTATATTGATATATTTTCTTTATAAAGACTACTAATCTTATTTTATAATCTATAAAAAGTACCGACTCCAGTTACTCCCCAGACATCAGTATAATATAGATTACGCGATCATGGGTATTACAGTATGAACTACCGGGAATAGTATATTATTTTCTATAAAATATATTCTAAAGTAGAACTTTCAAGTGAAAATTAACTTCTAACTTAAATTAAAAAATGAATTAAACCCCTAACTTAAGTAATTTTCAAAAAAAATAAACTTCTAACTTGAGTGAAATACAAACATTCTAATTTAAGTAAAAAAATAAACTTCTAACTCAAGTCAGAAATTTCTATAATATATTATATATCTTAATAAGTTCATCAAGGATCGTCGAGTTGGCTCGACGCTTGGTGGATGAGCCTGGGTTCATAGATTAAGCCTGCGAGCTCTAGTAAGCAAGCTCGGGCTTGACCTTAGGCCGAGCCGAGCCGAGCGAGTTGGAGCCCTTCAGGCGAGCCCTGCCATGTCTAATCTGAATCTATTTAAATTATTAAGAAAATACTATTTTAGAGTATAAGTTTAATAATACTTTTAAATTTCTATTAATACTCTTTTATTTATTCAAAGAATTATTAATAAATTTCATTACAGGATTATCTTTGATTATTTAATAGAAAAAATAATTAATATTATTCTAATTATAGTTAACTACTCTTCTAAATATCTTTTTTATTATTTTATCTATAATAACTGTACCAGATCTTGCTAAGCTCTTCTATTAAAAATAAAATTAAATTTTAGATCTTTCACTAGTATTATTTCTAATTAGCTTTATATTTACCAGTAAATTTTAATTTAATTTAATTTATAATAATTATATTATCCTAATTTCCTATAGTCTTCTATCTAGAAACCACCAGCTAAATAAAAATAAACCAGATTCTATAATATTATTTATAATATTATTTCTATGAATTTAAACAGGCTAATAATATTATTAACTATATAATTTACTTATAATAATATAAATAATATTACTACGGGCTAATTACTTTATAATATTTTATATAATTATTTTCTAGATTTCTGTATAAAAATTAAGAATAATTTTTAATAACAGAAAATCTTAGCAGTATAAAATAAAATCTTTAAATTTTAGAAAATATAAAAATCATAAAAGATATAGTAAAGAGGTGTAAAAAATTTAAAAAAATATTATAATAAATATTATAAAATTATTTCAGATATATAGATATATTAAAATCCAGATATATAAATTATATTTATCTGAGAAACATAGATAAATTTATAATGTCTTTTATATTTTTTTCTTTGAACCGGGAAATACTGTTAAAAATAATAAAAAAATATTACTAATATTTAATTTCAATAATGAAAATAAATAAAAAATAAAAGAAGTTAAAAATTATCAATAATATAATAGCCAAGACTATTATTTAATTAATTAAAAAAATAAGTAAATACATTTAATAAATTTCTAGTAAAAATATAGAAAATATATCTGATATTATATTATAATATTAAAACTCTTATAGTAAATATGATAGATTAAGAAAATAGAAGCTTTCTATTTTGAACTTATGATAAATTATTTATTATATTATAGGAACTTTAAATCTGTGATATGATCTACTTGTCAGGGTAGAGGGCCTGTTGACTAGGTAAGGAATTAACCACGAAATCCTATAAATTACTTATTAATTATATTATTAAAAGACTCCACATATTAATAGCTATAAATATTATCTTATTATAGAATAATAAAGAATATTTAATGTACTTATTATAATTATTAATTATTTATGATTTAAATACTAATAAAAGCCAGGCTCTATTATCATATCTCAAGAATATTAATTATAAAATGATTTTAAGAAAGAAATCCGAGAATTTATTATTAATTTATTAATATTAGAATATTGAATACACGCTATAATTTTTATTAATTTAATAAAACTATATAAAGCAGATATTTAATTTATATAATCAGGATTACTTAGCAGTAATTAAAATAGTATTTTAATATTATATATTTAATAATTTTTAATAAATCATAAAGTTCTGGATAAAACCGAATAGACAAATAAAGTATAATAAACTATAAAAAACTTTTTATATCTAATAATATTATTCTATTAAATTCTTAGTAATAAAATCTTAAATATTATATTTTTTTTAATTATAATTTCAACTTATACACCTGGTTGTCTTGGTTCTTTTTAAAAAAGAATTTATATAAAATATCTTAAAAATTATTGAATATATTATATAATTAATAAAATATAAATTTTTTATGAACTATTTATTTTATATTACTATTCTAGTATTCTTTCTTAATAGTAATAGTAGTTTATTTAATAATATTAATAAAATTTTAAATATTTTTAAAAGACCAGCCATGGGCTTAACAGATATTTATAAATTATATATAAAATAATATAAATTATATAAAATTTATTTATTTATGAGTCTTACTTTCTGTAGTATAAAAATAATATAAACCTGAATTTTTCATATTTAGTAAATAATTAATATTAAAAATAATATTCTTAATAGTTCATACTTGTTATTTGCATGTTTAATATGATATATATAGAAATTATACTATATCTTGATAAATATATTATAGATTAGATACTGTTTCTTTTAGTCATTACAAGTTCACAATAACAAAGTAAAAGAAAGAAGAATATAGGAGGTGTAAATAAAATAAGAAAAGAAATTCTCTTAATTATACAAGATTATATATTATCATATTATAAAAACTCTGTACTCATACAAACACATATAATATTAATAAATATATATAATACTGATTCTATAGGTCTGTCTCAAATAATTATCTTATATTTTATTATTTATTATTTATCTTTCTGATCTAAATAATTATAAAATTATTCCAGATAACTAGTCTAGATAATCCAGCACTGGCGGGAAGATATTATTTATAATAGAATAATCTAGTCTATATTTTTTAAGCTTATTAAAATAGTACAGTTCTATGCGGAATAAAATTATAAGATTATTAATAATAGTTCTATGTTTATCTAAGTATTATAAGATAATCTTTATTGTTCTTATATAAGTGTATAGAGTATCTCACGGTTTATTCCTTGACTAGCTGACAGGCTTTCTACCGTGACAAGTAAAATACTTATATCATGACCATAGAAACTATTTCTATTATTAAAATTTCATTATTTCTACTGTTCTGTTAAGATTGGGTCAGTAATGACTGCCTTCTGTTGATCTGCACGCCCTCTTGATTCAGTAATTCAAATTTACCCAGCGCACATTCCCCAGAAGCTTGCCGGACATGATGAGCACGAAAGCCGAACCGGACATTACTAGCACAACGGAAGACTCGTGAAAAAGCCTGGGCCAAATAGCTATACTTGAAGCATCATACCTTTGCGGCTTACTGCTTCGTCAATGTGAAATCCGAAAACGAGACGGTAAAGATCGCGCAGCCAAAGGTGTTGCCCGCTCTGCACCATCACTTCAACAGCGCATGCCACATCAGCTGCACCCGCTCGAGCCGAGGGACCCACAGTCCTGAATGCCGGATCGAATGCTACTAATTGCTTGTAATTCTTCAGGAGTGCAACCTGCCATGGCATCGACCCAAACGCATCCGAAGAAAGCGACTTGACGAATGAAGGAAAACTATGTGGCCCAACGCGCTGATATCCGCTGTTTATTGCGGCCTGGGTCACTAATATTCGGACACATGCCAGATTTGGATCCTTGGATGATGTTTTCACTGTCTGTGTGGAAGATGTTTGTTCTGAAGACTGGCTTTGACCCGAGATATCAGACGAATTAGACGACCAGGCGTGGGAAGACTGACCTGGGCCTTGGCCCAAGACGAAAATGTTTTGAACTGGTGCATCATCTGGCGACACGGTTGCGGTATCGTCGAATATTGTTGTTGGTGTCTCGGGGTTTCCTTGTTGATTTATCAACTCATCGACTGAGCCAGACTCTAATTGTTTCGGTTGGTGAACGACCTGTGTAGTAAAGGTTGCTTGACTTGGCCGGGGAGTACCGCGATCAGAGTTTCGAAGAGTCCGTTGAGTCCAACCTTCACGGAAAATATCGCATAGTTCCCAACAAGCCTGGACTGCTGAGCCAAGCAACTCCTCACCAAGTATTTTACCCTCTTTGATACTCTGACGTATGCTGAAAAGCATTTCTGCTAGGGACCAGCAGGCGCCCAACATGGAGTCTGTTTCTGACACAAGCGTCCTTTGCTTCATCAGGCGGTGACATATAGTAATGTAGAAGTCCAAGGTTCTTTCTCTGAATGCATCGGGGAGGTTACGGTCGTGTGTATTGTACAGATGATTGTTAAGCTCGAAGCTAACACGGAGAACAGAATCGGCACTCTCATCGTTTCTGACGCGGGTCTCGAATAGCGTTTGGCAAAATTCCCTGCAAAGGTCAAGCGTTGGGTTGATTTGCGGTGCACAATTATCATTATGACTGTTGTACAATTCCTGGCATAATCGCCAGCACGATTTCCAGACATCCTCCTGAGCATCCACAGTGCACTCATGACGTTCACGGTGTATGGAGCTTAGCGTTGCCAATGTATTGCATAGAGCCCAGCATTCAGCAAGAGCTGCTTGTAAAGCGCCAATCTCCGATTCCTCATCAGACAATTGTACAACTTGTGAATGGCGACTTTCAAGTTTCTCGCTTGTATGTTGGCCGGTCTCTCTAGCATTGGAGTTACATGAGGAAGCTGGTTCTTCATCGACGGAGGGCCTGGTGGACAACTGCTGTTCCTCGCAGTGATTTACGGCCGTTTCTGATCCTTCATGACTGGCAGAATGAACATATTTACTGATGTCCAGGAACTCCTGCCTTGTTTGTGCACGAGGGGTTGCTCGTTCAAACCAGTCGTCAGCTGGTTGAATCGATGTAGTAGTCAGCGGCGGTGGTGATGTCGGCCCACTTTGATTCTCCTGATGCCCGTCAGTACATTCATTTACAATGACCAGAGGATCAGTACCCTGGCCGCCTGTCCAAATTCAGTGCTCACGGAAGGGGTTGCCACCACATTTGATGCCAAGGTTTCTGCACCATCTGATATTGACTGTGAAGAGCTGCTAGAGTATTTCAGGCCATTTATCTGTTTATACCCACACGAGTCAGCCATGTAGTTCACACAGCAGATGAGATGCATCTTGTGGTAGTTACTCACAAAGTCGCCGAACCCAGCAGGTGCGTGTATCACAGACTTTGGAGGCTCATCCTCATCCGACCTGGCTTGGTTGCTACTGGAAACCGCATTCATTGGCTGTATCTTGCCAACACATCTAAAGTCAATGTAAAACTCGAATGTATACCAATCACTCTTGCGTCGGAGGAACTTGCACATACTGTAAGTTCACTTTTGATGTGGTCTGTTATGGGCGACGACCGGGTTGTTGCTGTCGTAGGTACTGCCTTAGGTCGAGTGTCATATATTTGAATATCGTTGACGACCGATTTCTCCGTGTAGATAGGCTGCTTGAGCTTGGAAGGTGACTCTCCACTGTATCTTAACCGCCCATCAGATATGCTGCTTATACTTGCGTCGGGCCTGAGATATTTAGCATAGACATTGGTTGGGCAACGTGATTGACAGCTTACATCTTGTAGACTATTCGCGAATCGAGTTACGAGCAATGAATATCAATTTCTCGAACAAGGGAGTCAGAATAGTATTCATGTTGTGCCCTATGATTATCGATGTAGCAAGGCGAGGTGTGATCGACTCATGGCGCATAGGAGTCCAAGCGTAGTGGAGGCGGATGAAGGTGAATAGTAACTGGTTATTAACTATCCGTAATGTAGGTTGATTGACTAACGCCAGCGGGGTTGAGCTCATCCTTACTAAAGGGTGCTCTTTAATACCTGATACCGCGCTTCCTGTTACTATTGAGCGTAGCCCGTGACACGCTATGCATGAGGCTAGTTGGTAGGCCTATCATATACGAGGTATAGGCTTTCCAGCCCCTTCATTAATACAGTAGATTCATATATGGTACGCACATATTGATTGCACTAATTTTTGGCGTATCACCCAGTGCCGGAGACAAGCATACGAGCCCGAACTGAGCGATTGCAAAGACAATTTAAGGCAACGATATGTACTGTTTGAGTGTTTACTCCAGCTAGACCACTTTGTATTGGCTGGATTGATGGAATTCGAAAAGTAGCATATCATCAATGATCAATTAAGTTCTTGACTTGAGGCTGACACAAAGGCCCAATTTATTGAAAGCATACAAAGCATATCATTAGCCGGTACTCTCAATGCAGCCGCTGCGATGTGATGATGAGCAATTGTGACCCCTGACCTGAGGCACTAGATAACGGCCCCGGCCATAATTACTTAGTACTATTGTGGGGTATCCCAGCTTGTTATTGGCTCATGCACAATGGATGCTACCTACAGTAAATTACAAGCGTTATGAGGTCGTACTCTGCGCCCTCAAAACGATCTTAGCCTCGTATATAAGTCCACTATCATGTGAACAACAGACAGCTGCCCAATGGCGCACTTTCCTGGTATTACATGCACCCTGTGCCTTTACCAGCTGGTTTTTTGTATACGATTGGCATGAGAAGTACCGGGATTGCAATACCACTTACGCTCGACTACTAATCGGAGACGGACAGTGAGCTAAGCACAGCACACGAAGTACACCTTTTGGATTAGATGCGACTCGATAGACTACCATGCAGTAGCCCTACGACTCCACCTCCATAGATCCCGCAGGACGCACTTACACGACTTATCAGCCTGGAGCACCTGATATAATCGGAGCTTTGGCTGGGAGTTGACGCAGCAATTGATCTCATTCGTCCCTTGCAAATCACGAGAATTTGCGGTCGATATGTACTAGTAGTACTGTTTCGAGACTAGACCAGGTGCCCTATGGAGATTAGCTGTACCTACAGGGCACCCAGGGTTACCTGCCGGTGGTTCTGGAACAAAGTATAATAGCCGCCAAGCATGGTAATGGTGCCATACTGCTCTCTGCATTTCATAATATCGATCAATTAAACCGTGAAGTCGATAATAGAAGTTTAGCTGCTCTGATATACATGATAGCCAGTCCGTACTCGATCATTCTTAACCAATAAGACCAAGTTGGCCAAGCCACTGAGCGCAGAGATATGTAGCTATTCTTCACCCGCAGACAGAGAAATAGCTATAAGTATGAGTGCAACCAGTGTACTCAACGATTGCGGTTAACATGTCACACCATGATGGAGCTGGCAAGACGTGATAATACTCCAAATCAAACGCCGACATCTTCATAGAGTCCAGGAAAAACCAAGCAAAGCGAGGAGGAGTAGGTAACAGAGAGAAGGAAGATGAAATATATGGACGGTCCATCCTCTAGCAATGCCGTGCAAATAACCCATTGTAGGCCAACGATCTCTGGCAGCGGATTCTGGTTCTGTACAAGGTCGTGAATGTATTGATTGGACCATACGAGGAAGCAACAGAGATATTTCCCCACTTATGGATGTGCGAGTAAAGCTCGAATTCATATTTGGTTCTTCGCTCGGTCTCTTTCAGTAGGATTATATCTATTGAAGAAATGAGTCCTCACGTGCATGTACTTCCAGCCGAGTGCGCACTTACCTCAGAAGTTTCTCTATCAGATCGACATGGGTCATGATCATTCTGCGGCAACAGTACCGCTTGCATCCAAGCTGATCCATGGCGTCACTTTCAAGTACCAGTTAGTTCGTCGCCGTAGATAGGAAATAAACCACCCAATACCTACCCATCGGGTATACCCTCATCAAGAAGTTGAAGATAACGTTCCCAGAGATCTCCGACAACCTGAAAATTTACATTGCATGAGATTTGAGAAGCGAATATGGGTTTCAAGTGCCACGTACCTTGCCGCAAGAAAAACAGCGGACGGGGATAATCATTTGGTCTGATTACTTCTTCCGTAGAAGTCTGAGACTGTTTGTGAAGTGAGTATAGATAAGTCAGATTTAGAAGAAATCGTTAGGGATCCTGACGGCCGGAGAAAGGTAGGAAGCGATGCTTCTGTCTTGATCACTTATTGCTGGTACTCGCCAAAGACAATGGGTGCAGTTTTTGTCTGCCATAAAATTGCCCGAGACGTGCTCCGATTGAACAGGCACTAGATCGCGGCCCCACTTATTGCTTTTCTAGAACCAAAATTACCGCATATATTACTGTTTCTTAGCAGTAGATTACCGCTATTCCACAAATGGAATAACCGCACCTGACAGGATGATAAAAAAAAAAAAAGTAGTCAACGGGACTGGAATTTCGAAGGCCGTCATCATCACTATCGACCCTACTACGCCGGTGTGTGGACGATTAGTATTGGAGTTTTCGAGTCTTTGAGCCTTTACCACAAACTTTCAGACATTTTTATAGAATTCTTCCTTCCCTCCATATTAGCCTATCAATGCGCAATACTCAAGACCCCCGACGACCGTCAAAAAGATCCCGCGTTGGCGATGCGGCTTTAGGAAAGACAATGCAGACTGACGATTCCCGAGTCAAGCGACGTCGCACATCACAAAGCAAGAACGACATCAATAAGGCGCTCTCGCCGACTATAATCAACTCAAAGGAAAAGCATGGGCTCGAAGAGCAGTGCACATTAGCCCGCACGGAATCTTCTGTACAGAAAAGCGAACCGCAATATGAAATATGGTCGTCTACCAGTATGGTGGCTGGTCAATACAGCAACCTAGATCCGATTTTTACAAGTGATGATGAGTAAGTTGAATGCCTACCATCCAAGTGAAAAGTCTTCTAAGTTCCTCTTGATGTTAGGTACCTCCTCATTGGTCTCGAGACTGCAGTCCATGTCTATTCTCTTGCAACTTCGCGCCTTCTCCGAACACTTCCATCGATAGCTGGAGATAGCATAGCCGGATATAGACTCTCTCCGGAAAATCCAAACTTCCTCTATGTATTTACATTGAGCGGTTCTGTGACCAAGTGGGAGTGGCTCTCTGGTGAACAATGCTCGTCTTGGGAAGTAGGTCACAAGACGATTTCTGTTGACGTGTGTCTTAGTGATGCTGGGAACGATATATTGCTTTTCCTTCTGGAACGCAAGGATGGAAAACGTGTGATAACGCTCAATGACTCCCCCAACGACGCATCACGCTACATTATCATACTCGAAACCCATGTTCAGATCACTAACCTCAAAGTCGCATGCCAAGGCCAGTTTATAATAGCATACAGCGACCGGCATGTGTTTTTTGGCTGGGCAGGGCTTGTTCAGCCTTCTGATTCTGTTAGTTATATCTGGAAAGAGGTCAACTTGCCTGTCAGCATTATGTGTCTTGATGTTCGACATTACACATCGTCGAATCGCCCTGGGCCACAGGGTTCGAAAGATCGGAATCATGCGGATAAGGTCGATCTGGTCTTAGGTGAACGGAATGGTTCTATTCTCATATACTATGACATCCTGCGTTTTGTCAAGGATGAGGGAGGCCGTCAACCTGAAAGGAACCTTACTCCTCGGCGCCTTCATTGGCATAGAAATTCTGTGAATAGCGTGCGTTGGTCTAAGGATGGTAGGTGCTCCAACAAAAACGTCAAGGTAGAGACAATTTCACTGACGAACCCGTTCAACGAAAGGAAATTACATTATAACAGGTGGTCATGAATCGGTCATGGTGCTATGGCAGCTGGACACCGGTAGAAAACAATTTCTACCTCATCTCTCGTCTCCGATCGGCAACATAGTCATATCTACAAGTGGAAACCTTTATGCTGTCAAATTAGCAGACAACTCGATTATCGTCCTGTCGGCGCGAGAATTACAACCTTTCTCTACTATAACAGGGTTGCAGCTGTGTCCCAAAGTTGCAAAGTCTCATGACAAATATTTACCTGAAGATCAGCCCCTGTTCGAGTGTGTTCCTGCTGCATTGCATCCACAGAACCCTGATCACCTTATTATAACTGTCCCCGCCTCTCGCCAGACGGCTCAAGAAAGTCATCCCGTGGTCAATGCCTCTATGCTTCAGACTTACGATATCCGTACCAACAGCCATGTTTCCCGTCAAGCTCTTGCACGCACCAACGCGACTACGTTGAAGGTTGGCCCTGATGGCTCTCACATAGTTACTCCGGACGTTACCCACATCAGTGTTTCCCACGACGGAAAATGGATGGCCACAGTCGACACTTGGAGGCCCTACAAACGGGACATGCAAGCCCTGCATCATGGGGATTCAGGATCTAGTCATCCTTCTGAAGGCTTCCAGGAGACCTTCCTGAAGTTTTGGAGATGGAACAGTAGTTCCAACCTGTGGGAATTGGTGACCCGAATTGACGGACCCCACTTCTGTGACAAAGGTTCCGTGCGTGTGTTAGATGTTGCAGTACGGGCATACAGCGCAGAATTCGCGACCATCGGTTCAGATGCAGTCTTGCGTTTTTGGTGCCCAAGTACTAGGCAGCGCAGTGGCTTAAAATCTGACAACCCAGAAGAGCCTATGGAAACCTGGAAATGTCGGAGAGCCATTGATTTGAAACCCTACATTGATGTTGGTATGGCAGATTCACTAGGTGCAGCTTCTATGGACTTTTCTCAGGATGGGTCCGTCCTTGCTATTTGCCTGGGATCTCAGACATGCCTCAACTCCGGACTTGCTATATTAATTGATGCGCAAAACTGCAGTGTCCGTTACAGCAGAGTCGGATTATATAAAGGCATGCCCTGCGCCGTTGCATTTGTCGGGTGCAATCTTGTTATGGCATCGCGAGAGGCAGTGTCCATATGGGATACAGTCGATGATATTGCCAGGGCAATCAAATTGCCAGGGTCCGGAAGCGTCTCGGTTAAACAGCCTCGTTTGCTGGCCGTAAGCTCTGAGACCAATACCTTTGCGGTGTCAGTAGAATGCCTACAAAATAATCAGCATTCAAAGAACCGCCGCATGCTCCGATCTTCTGTTCAGGTATACGACATCCTCACATTAGCGTTGCTGTCGGAAACCACACTTGGGCATCATCCAGTTGCCTTGCTATCGGCTATGCACTCAAGTGACTATATTGTCGTTGATGTTGCGGCCAACGTCCAGCGGATTGGCCGTCTCGATCAGAGCTACCAGAGCAACAGTCATTCGCGTGACCTTGGTTCTCACATTAACTCAGGACTTAGAAACCTTTTCGGAGAGCATGTCCGTGGAAAGTCTCAAGATCCCCAGCATATTACCACTGACTCGGACAATCAAAATTTGCAAAAGGAACTGGCTAGCGTCTTCAGTGATGCGCCGCCTTTCGTTATGCCCCCCGCCAGCATGATCTTCCGCAGCGTGGTAGATGCTCTTTCTAGCTAGTTTCAGTTGAGAACCAATTTTGATACAACTATGACTTTAAATTGTTACACTGCTCTAGTTAATCCCAATCTATAATCTCAGGTCACTGCCCAATTTTTTAGAGATAGTATAGTACACTGTTGTATTCATTTCGGTGCTTGCTTTTAATTAAGCTGGGCAAACTTGCTGGGGTGGCTGTCTTAGCTGTCTCATCACAATAATTCATTATTATTTCCCCCATTTCATTCCTTTGTATATACATTTCTATCTTTTATGTAATCCCCCTTATGTTGTGTCATTTTCGTTTTCATTTCCATCTATTGTATAAGAATTATTAGTTCTGGGAGGGGAGGATGTGCGAGGCTAATGAATGAGATTAACAGAACATCCCGGCAGTATGCGTAATTTTGAGTTACCTAGAATTCTTACTAGTAGGGAGTAAAGCAGCCCTATACACCACTGGTATAATTGCCCCAGTGCTTTGTATATGTAATCATAAACAAGATCTCATCACATACCTAGATTAATTTCAGGCTAATCTTCGAATCCTTCTTCGCAACTTAAAGATCCTAGTTCGTAACCACGTTAAGAAGAGCACCCATGTATTTTTAGGTTGTGATCTCCAGGTCTCCGGACATGATTCTGACTGTGAAGTTGAAGGCTGAGGCTTGTCAGATATTTCCTCTTGCCCGTCCTCCAGATCTACGTCATCGCCAGTGAACCTTGTTTGCAGATGCTGCTTCCCCCTTTGCTTTGTTTGCTTTTCCTCGGCCTTCATCTGTTGAGCCTCAAACCTCCATGTTTTGGCAGCCTCCTTCTCTTCGAAAGCCTGACGTGCTGCTTGTACCGTAGCCGCCCGAGCTACAGGGTCCATGCTCGTACGCGTCTTAGATCGGAAAACAAAATCCAAAGATGACCTAGATACTGGAGACGTTGTGTCCAAGGTGCTTCCGTTGTCTCGGGAGTATCCGAAAGATGAACGGCCGGTTATATTTGTCTGAGAAACCCCAGGCGACCTTGTGGAAGAGCTATCATGAGTTTGCAGCGATAATCGGGGTGTCTTGCTTGAATTGGTTGGCCCCGGCTTGAAGAACTCTAATCCTGACTGTGTCGGGGAATTGCTCCCCGCAAATGGATCCTTGGGAGAATCATCGCTCTCAAGTATGGATGCTTGGCACGATTGATTTAACGGTGGTGTATAGGCACGTGGAGCGAGACGCATGGGATGAACATATTGTGAGCCTGGTTTATTCATGGCTGAACTGCTGGCTGTGGACGCTTGAGACATTGCACTTGTAGATTGACAACGAAAAGCAGAGGGGCTTTTCCCTGAGGGAGGATGGCTGATTGTTTCGGCCCGAGCTGCTGCTTTGTCGTATTTTGCATAAATGCCCAAGCCTTCCTGTTCGAATGATGGCCGCGAAAGGTCGACTGTGGCCGGTGATGAGCCACCATATGATGCTTTTCTGAGTAAAGGCATTCGCTGCATTTTATTCCTCGCTGACTCGTACATGCGCAGAGACAAAGACAATAAAGCCAGCCGAAGCACCCAGTGTAGTAGTTATGGATGTATGGCCGGTATGAATCTTCCAGGCGGCTCGTGAAGTAGACACAATTCGGCGAGTGTGCCTGGCAGAGATAAAAAGAAAATCCACCTCTTGTGGTGAACTTGACCTCCCAGGTGCAATCAGTGGAGACGTACTACTCTCAGAATCGCTGAAATAGGAAGATCAGTGAGGCAAGACTTTATCTTCATTGCGATGCGACCCTGTCCGATCTCGTAAATGGACTGTTTCAGGCTCACCGAACGAGAATAATTGCGTCAAAACGGACCGGTCGCTTGGTCCTGGAATGCCGAGTGAGGGGTGCAACTGAAGCTCGTAGAAGTCGTCTTCGGACGTGCCGTGTGAGCCAGTCGCGGGTTAACTCACTGCAACAGTTGTCTCGATTTCCAAGCAACTAACAGAAGCGAAAAAAAGAAAAAAAAGAGTTCAGTGGTTCTTTACGCAATGCATTGTCGGCTGAAACGTAACAAACAAGCAGACACAGCAAGAAGCTTGGCTGTAGAGAAAAGTAGTACGGAATAGAAAGAAGGGTAATCCTATGACGGGGTGAAATGGCAACGATGAAATACGATAAGTACAATATGAAAGTCAACAACAGACACTCAGACCCGTCAGAAACTCCAAGAGAGCGCGAGGGTAAGACGAGACCAGTACGATCATAGATGAGCTGGCGAAGCAAGTCTTAAGAGGCAAAGCAATGGTGATTGATGTCGAAAATAGGCATCTCCGTCGAAAAAGGGAAGGGAGTAAGAGGAGATAAGCAAGCTGCAACAAGTACCCGGGGGTGGGAGGGGTTGTGTGTTTAGTTGAAGTGTAAGATAAAGAAGAGCGGGAGTATTGAGGGGAAGGGAAGCGGGGAAAGGAAAAAGAGAGAGGGAGAGAGAGAGAGAGAGAGAGAGATGGGCGACCGAGGAGAGGGAGGAGGAGGAAGAGGAGGAGGAGTAGCGCTAGGAGACGTGATGGTAGTAGTTTGCAGTAGTAGTGGTAGTAGTGAGGTAAATAGTGGAGGGAATTCTAATTCTGGGAAGGCGGCGGTGAAGTCGGCGCGACGCATGCGGACTGCGGAGGCGTTCTGATAACTCGACTTCCCGGCTCTTCCGAACGATCGGGCTGGCCTCTGAATTTTGCATGTGGGGCATAGTCAGTTAACTAATCATAATCTGATCAAAAAGATTAGTTAGTTCTTAGTTCTTAGTGATGATAGTGATGAGATAAGCTCAGAGCAGTTAAGTAACTATCTAGAGTAGATAGATAGATCATGAGAAGGGAATACTGTATATATAGACAGCCTTTACAGTACACACTGAGTTTACCAGATCACGTAGGTATATACTTACTAAGTAGTATTAGTTAACTATGTCTAGACCGACTCGTCAGGGTCCCGACCGGGAAAGACCAACGATCTACACTTGCACCTTCCCATTTCCTCAGCACTGGGCTTCCAAAGTACTGTTGTTTTGTACGCCTGGAGACACGGAAGTATCTACTCAGTTGCACTAATTCACTTGACACTCAAGGGAGAAACAGCTCTCATAAGTCACCTATGAACGGGCCGCGTTACAACAGTCGGATTTGTACTGCGTGTATACTAATAATGAGACAAGAGAGTACCTGTTCTGACCATCGCAAAGTACAAGAGCAGGCTACATGATAGAGAACCATTATCCATATGGGTATATTAGTATATTTGTGCCGGGAAGCAACGTCCCCCAACCTTTCTCTTTCTCTCTCGCGCGCGCGCGCGCTCTCTTTGAGCGAAGGTGGCAGAAGGCAAGGGATGAAAATACTGGGGCCAGGAGGGGATATTTAATTGTCTACTACCATGATATATGCGTATGTATCTGAAAACATGTAGAATTGGCTTATCAAGAGATTGACTTGTGTGCTTACCATTCCTTGACTTCTCCTGGCGCCGGTGGCTCAACCCGCACAACTTTATCGCAATTGAGCAAGCAAAGGGGGTCATAAGCTAATTTGAGCTACGGGGCGTGAACCGCCTGCATTAGTACGACGGATTCCATGTGTTATGGTGGAAGATGGGATGTATGACTACTTACCCGGCGCATAGCATCCACTGTAGACTCCCCTAGTTCATGTTGCAGGTAATCCCGCTTGACGAGGCCAACTCCGTGCTCGCCAGTAACTGTACCTTCTAGTTCAACAGCCCGCTTTACCATCCGATGGACCACGGCCTCGGCTGTTGCTTTCTCGTCTTTATTGAAGAGGATGATCGCTGCCGCGCGTTAGAGACTGATCCAATTGGCTTGGGGGTATTGGAAAGCAGAAATCCCTACCATGAAAATTGCCATCGCCGACATGACCGCACATTCCCGCCAACAAACCACTTTCAGTCATGTCTTGTTTGGTGGCCTCGATGATTTCGGGTAATTTGCTTATAGGGACAGCCACATCAGTCGTCCAGACATGGTCCTCAGGACCTCGCCTCATGGACATAACGCTCCATAGTGCTTGTTTCCGGGCGCTCCAGAGTTCTTGCATTTCGCTCTCACCTCGGGCAAACTCGAAGGACCGACCCGCAGTAGAAGAAACAATCTTCTGCACCATGTTTATTTGCTCCTTCACGCCAACAGGGGTACCCGCAAACTTGAAAAATATGGTAGGCGCTTCCTTCCAGTGTCGGCTGGTGGACTGACTTTCGTTGATGCATTTCATCTGCACGTCATCCAGGATCTCGACCCCAGCTACTGGGATACCTTCTTCCACTACGCGTGTCACGCACTCTGCCGCATTCTGTACCGTAGAGAAACTCGCGACGGCGACATTTTGGCTCTTAGGTTTGACCGTCAGCTTCAACGTAGCCTCAGTCACCAGACCGAGGGTGCCTTCACTCCCAATAAAGAGTCTTGTAAGATCGTAACCAGCGCTTGACTTCCGTGGACGTTGCCTGGTCTTAATAATAGTCCCGTCGGCAAGCACTACCGTCAAAGAAAGCACCCAATCACGCATAGTGCCATACCTGTAGGCATTTGTTCCCGAACAGCCCGTGCCAATCATGCCACCGATCATAGCACCAGGGCCCGGATCCGGAGGAAAGAAAAGACCATCCTGAGAAAGATGTTCATTCAGCTCCTCCCAGCCAACGGCAGGCTGGACCACGACGTCTAGATCCTGCTTATGGAGACCCAGAATACGATCCATACGACGGAAATCAATGCATATACCACCCCGCGTGGGCGCAAAATGGCCCTCCAAGCTGGTACCGCCTGAGTAAGGGGTTACTGGGATCAACCGTTGATGGCAAACCTTCATGATTCGAGATACCTCCTCCGTAGTAGATGGGTAGAGGATGAGGAACGGTCTTTCCCCCTCTTTCAGGGCGTAGGAAGACCAGTCAGATCCTGCATGCATATCTAAGTCGGCATTTTGTGTGGAGACATTGTCTTTCCCTAAAATGTCAACGAAGTCCGCCCAAGCAGCCTGTAGATTTGAGGGAGAAACGTTATGTCGCGGTGACTGTGTATCATAGACGGAGCTTGTTGACGAGGTGGGAAGCTCAGCAGGTTTCAAGGATCCCAGATAGTAAGCCCCCGTGGAGAAAAAAGCCAATGCTAGCACAATGACATCAGCAATCAAGGTCTCGAGAGATCCAGAGATGTTCATGGGGCGGGCCTCGGGCAATAGGCATACCAAGCATCAACGCCACGTTGCGACTGCCCTGGGATTGGGACTGGAACTGTGAGTATCGTTCCTGTTCAGCACGCTCACGTTTGAGGCGTTGTTGTGTACTTTCGTATAATTGATGCTTGAAGGACTGAGGTTTCTCATCGGCGCGATGGGGAACGGACCATTGCAAACCCCTCCTCTGAGATCCTAAGCGTAGCGAACGGCTGAAGTGGCACCCGGCCCTTGGGAGAAGAGCGCGCATGGCGCCCCGCGGACGAAGATAAGAATCGGGTCTGATCATGTTGGGGAGCAAAAGGGCGACAGTCAGCATGGAAGAGGGACCCTTGTTGAGACAGTGGTTTTTAGGGTGAAACCATCGCGTGGTGAGCAGTTAAAATCACAGTCAACCCAGGCGCAAAATACGAGAACTGGAGAGGCGGGCCGACGGTAATGGTAGACGATGAAGGAACATGAATATCCGGATTGATGGATGGATGGTAGAACAGATGGAGAATGGATCGATTGCTAGCTAAGTTGGACTAATCCCAAAGAGGTAAGGCTGCGGTAGCTCACCTACAAATTAGTACGAAGGTAGTATCTAGTTAGATAGCTTACTAGCCAAGGCAATCTCTACTACTCCGTATGCAAAACACCTTTTTATTCAGCTATTCGAACAATGTATCAAACCGTAACTCACTCGGCATAGGCCATACTCACCTCATTACGTACCAATAGGGCTACCTATACGCAGTCTTTCATATGAACGCCCAGTGCTACTTTGTACTAGTAGTAATTCATTCTACTATAGGTCAGCCCGATCAGGTTGTGCCAATCATGATTACCGCAGTGTACTGAGTATACTCGTTTTCCTCAAGTCATTGGACGATTATGGGCTAAGTGAACAGGTCCATTGGCAGCCTGTGGTATATAATCAGTTTTCAACTATTCTAGACCCAAGAATTCAATGTATTTGACTAGGTTAACTATCTATTCACTACCAAACACTTACCAATATAGCCGGTCAGCCGCCTTGTCCGGGTAAATTTGGCGCTGCGCCGGTTAATTCTGAACCAATGAGGGGCTTTCCACCCCGCCTCCTCTACCCCATACCTTAGTACTTACGTCGATACCTCCTACCAAGCTACCCAATATGGATCGAGAAGCAACCAATTCACTAGGGCGACATATCCGAAATTTAAGAAAAGGCCGAGGGCAAAGGGATAAATAAGGAAAGAAAGGGTAAATCCTAGAAGCTGAAATTCAGTTCCGATACTCGTTTTTCTAGCCATTCTCCAGCTCAAGAGCTTTACCTCCTACAACATATCGAGTCAGCTGGCTTTCTCCGTGTGTCTTTTTGTCTTCAACCATCATGAGCACCCAGAACACCAACGCTCAGGTACGTGCATTGAACTCTCATTACATAGGGTCAATGGTGGCTCGTCACTCCCACCATCAGCCCAAAGTGGCACAACCGAAATGATCGCTAATGACCTCAACCACTACCAGAATCTTTCCTTCGTCCTCGAGGGAATTCACCGCGTCAAATTCGAAGACCGGCCAATCCCAGAGATCAACAATCCTCACGACGTACTGGTGAATGTCAGGTTCACAGGTATATGTGGTAGTGATGTGCGTATAACCGAAGCCCACGAGACAGAATCGAAGGCCTGCCTAGCTGACATGTCGGATATTTTCACCCTCAAGGTTCATTATTGGGAACATGGCTCCATTGGCCAATTCATTGCCAAGGATCCCATGGTCCTGGGACATGAATCTTCCGGTGTTGTCAGCAAGGTTGGCTCTGCCGTTACCAGTCTAAAGGTAGGAGACTGCGTTGCAATGGAACCAGGAATCCCATGTCGCCGCTGCGAACCATGCAAGGCGGGGAAATATAATCTCTGCGTGAAAATGGCTTTCGCAGCGACACCTCCATATGATGGTACCTTGGCCAAGTATTACGTCCTGCCCGAGGACTTTTGCTATAAGCTTCCTGAAAGCATCACCCTACAGGAGGGTGCGATCATGGAGCCCCTTAGTGTCGCCGTCCATATCGTTAAACAGGCTGGGATCAACCCGGGTCAATCAGTGGTAGTCTTTGGTGCTGGCCCCGTCGGGCTTCTCTGCTGTGCTGTGGCGAAGGCTTACGGTGCGTCCAAGGTTATCGCGGTTGACATTCAAAAGGGTAGGCTAGACTTTGCCAAGAAGTATGCAGCAACTGCCACGTTTGAGCCAGCTAAAGCCGCAGCGTTGGAGAACGCTCAACGGATAATAGCCGAGAATGATCTAGGCTCGGGTGCAGATGTTGCCATTGACGCTTCAGGAGCAGAGCCCTCGGTTCATACAGGCATTCACGTTCTGCGTGCTGGGGGAACATATGTCCAGGGCGGTATGGGTAGAAGCGAAATCACCTTTCCAATAATGGCGGCTTGCACCAAAGAACTGAACGTCAAGGGCAGCTTCCGTTATGGGAGTGGTGACTATAAGCTTGCAGTCTCCTTAGTAGGCGCTGGAAAGGTGAACGTGAAGGAATTGATCACGGGTGTCGTCAAGTTCGAGGACGCCGAGCGAGCATTCGAAGAAGTTAGAGCTGGAAAGGGCATCAAAACGCTTATTGCTGGTGTCGATTCATAGAATTCGTCAGGCATATTAGCAATATTGCAGCAGACGGCAACCCTTTGCTTTGAACGTCAATCATTCCTCAGTGTCGCTTGCTTTCTTCCCATTTAAATTGTCTCTCCATATCCGTGGTCTTTTGGATCACAGAATGTAAAGCTCGAGGCATCTTCAGGCAATTGGTTCGGTCCAGATCGTATGACCCTTTGATAATCTCTTCTAATATTATGAAACTGTATCCCCACTTCAGATGGTGCTGGCTGTAACTTGGCCATCACAAGCCTGTGCGTTCGAAGTATCCGTAAGAAAGCTCATGAGAATAACTGGCCGGACAACACATAACGCAAAAACAGTTAATAACAATCAACTTCTGGAATGCAAATCCCTAAAGACTCAAACCATTCGCTTATTGAACAGGGTAGTCACAGTGCTTGACTACCGGGGGTATCATGCTGCACGAACCAAATCCACTGGCCTTAAGGTCCCCTCACAAGCTACGAGAGGTTCAAAACTAAGCCATCAACCGAAATGACGCAGTCCGCTTCCGCGACGTAACTTGGACCACCGACCAGCCGTTCTATAAGCCAAAGTCAATATGCGACGGGCTCAGACAATCGTGGCAGGTTGAAATTAGTAACAGGTGTGATCTTTGAAACAAGTAAAAGAGGATAACCGCGAAGAAACAAAGCTGCTGATAAGTAGTAATTCAGGCCAAGGAGTACTAGCAGCAGCCGCTACCTCTCCTCTGGTGCGGATCGCTCAAGCGAAACACATCCTCCCACTCCCTCATGCCAGTCTTCCAATTGTTAGTGGTATTCTTTCTTGGCTGTCTACGGTGTAGTTGGACAGCACCGTCGTCGAGCGAGATGCGACTTCGAATACTGGAACCATCGCTTGTGCCATGGCCGTAGAGAGCACCGTCACCGTATTGAATCCCGCTTTGGGGGTCATCTGGATCAATCTCGCCCAACTCGATCTTCGTGAGAATTATCCGGGCCAGCCGGTTGAAGAGCTCTTCTACGCCCTCACCCGTGAGAGCTGAGACCTCGACGGCAACGGGAATGTTGGACTTAGCAGCCCAGTGCGACGTCTCTTCGGTACTGACCTCACGACCATGTGGTGCATGCGTTGCCGTCATTCTCGTTGTGGTATCGTAGTTTGAGCGAACGGAGCCACCGCTTGATCCAAATGGGAAAGACATCCTGCTGGATGTACTAGACGGTGTGGGAGGTGGGCGTGCATTGTCTTCAAAAGAATCGCAAGGCGGCACGGAGTCGGAGGCAAGATCTGACTTATTACCAGCTAGTAGGACGCTCAGATTGGGGGAAGCAAGAGCACGCGCATCCATGAGGAACGTGGGAAGGGAGACAAATGACGCATGAGATGTAATATCATAGATGAGAATAGCCCCTGCAGCTCCTCGGTAATATGATCTGGACACAGATCGGAACCTCTCAGTTCCAGCGGTATCCCACAGCTGCAGCTTAATCCGTGTTCGTCGCGGCCCGGCGCCTAATTTGACGATCTTTGAGGAAAACTCAACCCCGATTGTCTGAGATGACAGCACTCGCCCTGTAAGCGAAAGGCATATTAGCGAACGCTTCCAATTCCGGAATGGGAGTGGGAAACCGGGGCGGTTGGCATAGATTGTAGATCGGGTGATGAAATTCCAGTCAGAGATAGAGTATCATACATTCGCTCTTCACAAAACGATGTAACACGCAAGACCTGCAGTCGCGGAAATGTCAGTGACCGATGGAGCCTGGGGAGGTGTGACGGATTATTATCTTCAGTATCAGGACTTACTTTCCCGCCCCGCTCGGCCCTAGAAGAATGACCTTGGCCAGATAGTCATACATGCTCTCGAGCTCCTACATGGTATTAGATGCCGCTAATTGAAAGGGGGGTTATGACGCGGGCGCACTGATGGCGGAGGAAGATCAACACGATGGGATAGCGTCGCAATACATACCTGATTACTTTCGGGGAGAGACGAAGTCGAGGAAGCATTTGACAGGTTCCTTTGACGCACCATGGCGCCAGAAACAAGCCATCTAAAGGCCTGCTGATTGGTAAAAGGAGTACAAGAAGGATGGAGGCGAAGAGTTTACCACGGCGGGTGGTACCTTGGTAGAAAGGACTTGTCCACGATTCGTCGTTCATGCGGGCTCGGAGTAAAAGTACTAGTACGTAGTAGACTAACGGCAAGCCGGCTCCTAGATACCACGCCCCTGGCTTATCCACTATTCCACTTATCAGTTGCTCTATCTTTCTCTGTGTAACCATTACAAGTTATTCTAGTCCCGGATGCCGATCCCGTCGGGGGACTCATTGGCGAGTTCTGTCCCTTTCGTCCTTCATTCTTCTATTTACATACGTGGTTCAATATTGTTTTGTCCGGCATCCAGAAAGATGTCCCCCAGTAACGCTGAAGTGCGTTCTAATAAGCCAAACATTAAACCCATGAGTCTTTTTCCCAGTGAAATTCACAGTCGCTCTCAGTCATCATACAGACGACAATTTCTCTATCACACTGCTAGTGATGCCTTTGACACATGCGAATGATCGTTGTCCATCCCTGGCAACATGACCTATTCATGCGATGATTACACCAACAGCATTGCACCGTAGTCGGAGATTGAGACCTTGCGGCTGAGGCAGAAGACATGATACACGATGAATCGACACACTGTCCTGACAAACTACCTTTGCGTATATTTGCATCCATACATTTATGGACAGCACGTGATTCGCCCTGGACAGTGGAGAGCTTATGCTTTTTGGAGACTGGAGGTGCGCTCGGCGACGTGAGTCTCGCATACAGTTCCGATGGCAGATCATGCCAATGGCTGCAGTGACAGCAGATGACAAAGAGCATTTAAAATGGACTGACTGTTTGTACATTCCTCAACTGCTCCATGCGTCCGTTCATTCGTCCTTTCGGCGTGTTGCATAGACCGGTGTTTGAAGCTCCCACACTGAGCAACACATCGTTGTTAGTAATGCCCAATGTACTTGGTACAGAGTCATCATTGTGGGGGAGACTGGCTGGAGCAATGTCATCCTGCCGGGGAAGCGAGGTAGATGAGTGGGCTTCGTCTGCAGTATTGTAATCTTCTGATCGTGGCTCTTCAGAAGATGCGGATATTGACGAACTGGAACCTTTCCATTGTGTAGGCTTGCTCTCATAAGACACATGGCAGGCTTCAAGTCTCTGCAGATTAGGAGTGTCCTGGAGGCTTTGGGCCCGATCTTGACAAGCTTGAGTCTTATCACGCGGTGGAGGACCTTGAGATTCACGGTGTTCGTCGGGACCTGCATGCTTCGCCTCGTGGACGTCGGAATCAGTCAGGCTGCGATTTGTGTCGTGAATCCGAGAATATGATTTCTTGACCGGCTCTATCGGCCCAGGCTCTCGGCATGTCACTGCATGGGCTTCATGTTGGTTTGTAAGAATGCGTTTGCCCAAAGGTGACTGGAGATGGTGACTAGCCCACGTGTATCCAACAACAGAGCGCTCCTGGGGGGTTTTGGCGACACTATGAGGCCGTGCATGGTCTCCTTCGCCTTCATTACCGTCTCTCCCAACTAAATGCCGCGTAACATGTGAATGTGTCTGCTTATACGTGGGATCTATAACCTTCTTGACAGAATCCATGGGGGTTTGATCATCTTCGATGGAAGGTTGCAAAGCTCTTGTGTCTGAAGAATCCATAGCATTTGAGGACAAGTTGGATCTACTGGCCACAGTTGAGGCCACTGCAAGCGGTGACGATACATAGCTCTTATACTGTCTCTGAGGATAGCGGTCCGTAGAAGTTCTGCTTGGTGCAGTCCTCAACGGCTTGGCTTGTAAGTTAGTTGATGACGGTCCCGGTGAGGATTTCAAAGACTTTCCAGCATCAGCTGCCGCCTGTGCTCTCCGAGTGCTTTTGTAGCTACCGCGGGTATGTTTTCCCCGGTTATTCGTCAGTTCCGGGGAAGACACCCTCAATGACCGACGATGTTCAGATAATTTCACGGTGCCAGACTCCCTATTTTTAAGGTTGAGCGTTGCTGCGAAGGACAAGCGGTCCAGGTCTGCAGAGACAGGAGGACTAGGGGCTCTTGATTCTACCCTACGGGCGTTACTGTCGATGGTGACGAGATGAACCTGTTCAGGGCCTTGTTCGTGCGACGAATTGTTTTCAATGTTGCGAGGATGAGGCCCGGTAGAATCATTTGTCTTGGGTTCTATACTGGTAGGATTTCCCGGCATTAGCTCCTGAATGGGCACGGGCTCAGGTTGGTATGGGGTCAGCGCGTTGTTTATGGCGAGCTCTTTGGATATCACAGCGCCGAAGCGATTAGGCATCGTCACAGCAATGTGAGGTCGAGTTGCGTGCGGTCCCGAGTCCAGTCCTGATTGTGATCTTTCGGCGTCAGCTGGCAGGTGAGTTGGATAGTCTCCGTCACTTCTACTTAGGGAATTCGAACGTGACCGGGAGTTTCGCCTTGAACTTGAGAAGAGAGAAGAGAGTCGGCGTGATGGACGAGACTCATCCCCACGCACACTCGATGCCCTGCTTGAGCTTCTTATAGGTTGTTTTTTGGTAAGGCGCCGGGTTTCTTTCTGCTGTAGGCTTACCCCGTGGCTTTGCTCGCTCTTTTCAAGTTTAAGGATTCTCTTCTCAAGCTCCAACCGTTCAGCTTCTAGGCGCCTTGTAGCCCTTCGTTCATTCTTGTCCGTCGCCTTGTTGATCGAAGTAGCGGAGTTGAATGATCCGTGCTTGCCAGAAGGCATATCCAAAAGGGAAGATGAGTCGGACAGTTGCAATGTCCCCTGACTGATAGAGTTTGCCGATGACTTCACGAGCTCATTATCACCGAAAACTGAAAAAGTTGGACCTTGGGCTGTACGTGGGCTGACATCCTCGTTTTTTTGTATCAATGATGTGGATCGACTTGAACACCCGCCAAGGCAAACCTCGTCTGTCTGTTGTTTCCCCTCTCGTTCTTGCCTATGGGTTTTTATGGTTCGGGTCTCTAGCGAACCTGACGATCGCCTGCACGTTTCTTTCTTTGAGATATTAACAACAAGCACATCTTGTCCCAGGGAGGCAGGGAGTTAAGGTAGATAGAAGGAAACTGACGTGTTGGCTGTTTGCTGGGCCGATGACAAAAGAGAAAACTTACATTCACATGCTTATCCAGGTGGAAGACCCGCTGTAGCTGCTGTGAGAGAGAAGACCTACGCTGTCTTCTGGTATGTCCTTGTTCACTGCCGTTCATCTTGACTGTAACCAAGTGTCTCTCGCGGGGAGGTTCACGCCAATTCTCATTGCCCGTAGAGGTAGAGCATCACGAGTGACCGACTGTGACTTGGGAGATAGTTGATGGTAAACTAGGATTGGCCTGGAGCGAAAAAGGATGCCGCAGATTCAAGCGTATGTACGTGGTGTGTATATGTGTTGTGTAACAACAGCGACTAAATGGCAGCCAGCAATATGGTTGGATGAGATTCAGGACCGCTCGAGCACCCTAAAGCACATCTTTATGCGTCTAAGCAGCTCTACCAGAGACTAAGTCAAGACTTCAAGAAATGAGCATGTGCAGGAAATCGTAAACAGATCATTGCACAGACCAAGCAAACAGGTAAGTCGGCAAGGGGCCATCGCCCAAGCAGGTCAGCTCCCAGGAAAAGTGAAGGGTGACGGTCGCACAATCAACTGGACACTGGCCGGGCAGTAAGCAAGAGTACTTAGGCGCAAGGCGATCAGAAATTAAACGAGCTTACTAGGTCTACTCAAACCTCAGCTGGTACTGCAGTCAGGCACGGTGGGGGTAGGGCATTGTCGACCCTATGCCTCTTCTGGACCTTGCATAAAAAGTTGCATCTGAAACAGCAGTCCCAATTAGTTATCGATCATAATCCGAGAAAGATTCCTCCTCACTTTTCCCACTTATCGTCCTTCTCTTGTATCGATTTCGATATACCGAGCGTCTCCCTTCACCTACAACAAACCCGTCCCCGCAGTCCCAATGTGGCTGGCTCCACGGGGGGTTTTTATCTACTGGTCAACTAACTTTCTAAGGTACTAGTAACTAACGGGAAGGGGTCCAACAATCACATAAGCGGTAATGTTTGTTTGTTAGTTATGCATGGCCAACTAACTAGAATAATATACTTACAGTAACTACCATTCCTTAGGAAAGACGATGTAACCAGTTGATGTATGATCATGTTCCATGTATGAGCTAAATAGATACTAATACATGTCTACTCTTTGTGAGCACTAATTTTGTACATTCATTCTGCCTCCCTGCCTTATTTTTGCTTTCTGGCCACAGGTCGGCATAGCCACCCGCGACACACTGCAGAGTGGCTACCCTCCCATTAGAGCATCCCGCCTGCTATCATACCGACATTTGTAACTCCAACTTACGATATAATCTTAACAGGGTCGTTATATGAACCTCAAACGCGATCATTAAGGCCAAATCTTCCTGTCTATACCGGTTTGAGTCATTTTTTCGGTTGCAATGGCGGACCCGTCTGAAGCCACGACACCAAAAGCACAATTTGAGTATACGATGCCCATTTCCTCACCCCCACCATATTGCGCTTCCACATCTACTGGAATCAGAAATCAGGGGCCCTTCCTTTATCACAACTGGCAGGAGACTGTGCCAGATACAGCAACTCTTCCACCGCCACCGATAGCTGGGTTTTTTTCCTCTAGTACAGGGAATGCCTCCTGCGACGATGCAGAGCGTGCCCACGAATTTTGTGATAAGCTTCCCCTAAAGGTTCCCATCGAGCCATCTGATGCTCTGTACAGATCTGCTCAGGAATACAATTTGAGCCCTGCAGAGTCACCAAAGTTCAATGGGAAGCTGTCCATTGTCAATCAGGGGCACTGGAAAGGGTCCACAAGAGATGGGAATGTCGATTGTCTTTTAACCACAAATCTGCCCCTTTACTTCTCCATGAAGGATTCCCCTTTGCTTACAGAAAAGAGTAAAACTATTTACTTTGAAGTAAGACTGCTTGGCCTCCGCGTAGGCCCGCGAGGGCAGTCTGCCGACGCCAGCGGGTTCTCTATCGGATTTGTGGCACAACCGTACCCCAACTGGAGATGTCCAGGATGGGAAAGGGGTAGCCTCGGTGTATTCTCTGATGATGGTTGCCGCTTTGTGAACGATTCGTGGGGTGGGAAGGGCTTCACGAGCAAGTTCAAGGTAGGAGAGACAGTTGGCTTGGGGATAACATTTCACTTCCCCACCATGGCCACCTCAGTTTCGGCGGGTATAGACCCAAAGGTCAATGTCGATATCTTCTTCACTCGTGACGGTCAGAAAGTAGGGGGTTGGAACCTTTACGAGGAGTTGGACGAAGATTCTGGGGGGGTAGAAGGTCTAGGAGGAGATTTCGATCTGTATGGTGCCCTCGGACTGTTCGGAGGTGTGGACTTCGAGGTTTTCTTTAAACCTGCAGATTGGTTATGGACTCCTCGAGAGGACTCCTAATTGTCGCCATTCTGTACCTTACATTGTTCTGGTAGACGCAAGCAAATCCATCTAAATCTGCCTTAGTGAACGTTGGCGGAGCGTTAGCAATGTCCATCTTGGAAGAGTAAGCGAAGGTTGTTCCCTTAAAGACCGTTTGACAAGGTAGGTGAACGTATAGCTAATACCGCATCGTGTTCGATCATATTGATTGCCTTGCCACCTTTGCTAGAAGTATGATTGAATTACAGGTAGGAAACGAATAACTGATATTTTCAAGGCACAGAAGACGATTGATGATATAGAAGCGAAAATCCCAGACAAAGCCACTTTACAAATGGAAAAGATCGCCGTAAACATCCTTGCCGGTTGTAATACAAGCTACTGGGCTGCACGCATGATAGAACACACTTGGTGCACTGGAGATGTTCTAGAAAGTTACTTGCAGAAATGGCTTGGGGGAGAGGGGGGAGAGGATGTACCCTGTTGATGCACACACATTAGTGTAGCGGGGGGGAGCATAGTCTGCATTCCCGTCATTGCCCGGGATGCTTATGTTACCAGTTGGCCTGGTCCAGAACAAGGGAGCCTCAAGTTATGCGATTGATTGCTGAGGAGGCTTGCCTTGCTTGAGCAGGAGTGACGGAGAGGAGGGGAGTTGACATCATAAACCTGAAAAGTAGTGCCACTATATGCAAGTATCTAGCGGGTATTGAAACCCATTTCCGAACTACCTAGGATAGAGCAGGGGTGAAGATGTTCGCTCAAAACCATGACTGCATTAGACAATGATATGCAAGGCATAGCAATTCCCTGACCTCATGATGCATATGCTAGCCTCTTTTGTGCCATAGGATAAGACCGCCCGTTTCGGAGGTGGGGGAGAATTCGTTATCATATGCTTTCACAGAGAGAGAGAGAGAGAGAGAGAGAGAGAGAGAGAGAGAGAGAGAGAGAGAGAGAGAGAGAGAGAGAGAGAGAGAGAGAGAGAGAGTGTGTGTGTGTGTGTGTGTGTGTGTGTGTGTGTGTGTGTGTGTGTGTGTTGGGAAACGGTCAGTATGTGCCAGTAGGCAAGGTCATGTAGGACAGGAAGCTGATAATTATTTGTGTAGTACAGTCCCCATCCAGTGAACTGACCAACCCCATTCTAAGCACTTTTATAATTTTAAGGGTAGTATACAGGCATTGCTGCAGCTCGTGGCGTTTCTAGCGATCTTACAAATGTTGCAGGGGATTTCTGCATAGGGTTGCTTGCATGTCAAGAGACCAAGAGCTGGCTTGCACAGAACCAACCACAGACTCAAACAACCATAGTTCAATCGTTGATATTACTATTGCCCAGAATTAATCCCAACGGCTGTGCAGGAGAAGTATCAACGGGTTGTGATACTCAGCCTATCTAGTGGCAATAACCATAGTCATAATAATAATCATTACAATAGAGGCTGTAATGATAACAATACTCAAATAATACCTTCATGAGTTCGGACTCCTTCCGGGAACTCCGTTCTGCACCCCGTGAAAGCCACGCAGAGCATTTCTTCTGAGTCTCCTGGAGGCTTGACCAAAGCCAAACAAGCCGAATGACTATTCCGGTAGTAGTATTCGCACAACCGGCATAGAAGTCACTTAAACGAGGTTAGCCCAGTGCAAATCTAGCTCATGCCTAGTTTTAGCTGCTGGATTGACTCGATTAGCTGCAGAAGTGGTGCAGTAGTCAACGTTGCTAACGCCTTTTCCGTGGTAAGCAGGATGGCCTGGCCGAGCGTCAGGCCCGCAGCCGAACCTCACACGGGCCACCAAGAGAGAGGTCTTCGACTCCCGCGTCCAGCCTATGATAGCACGGCAGCGTTCCACAAATAACCGCCACTCCTACCTACCTAGGCAGTCCGTCTTGCCAGAAGATGCGACTAAACTAGAGGAGTTTGGAGTACTTCGTACTAGTATCAGTAGTCTACCAAACAATATCACCCGAGGAGGTTTGTGGAAGGGGGGAATGAGGGTTCTACCGTGAGGTCCGGGGAGGGCAAGGGCGGGAAATGATAACAATGTTAATAAATAGTAAGTATACTATCAATGGGTGCAATACACCTTACAATAAACGATCCCGACTTCCACTAATCCCCTTCTACTACTACTACGGCGAGACGACGACGACTATCACTACTCTACTATTTAACACCACTCTCCTCTATAGCTTGCTATCTTTAGAAAGCCGGAGTCTCCTGCGTCGTCTGATCCCTCGGAAATCCATCCTGACTGGGGGCAGTGTTTACAAATGGTGAAAAGCGCGGGCGGGCTGTGTCTTGGGAAGCACAGGACATTCTCAGCCCAGTGTGTCGCCCGTCGCCGCCAAACACGTAGACTACTACTAGACTAACTAGCGGGAGCGGCACAGCTCATTAGCAAGGTAAGTAAGTTGCCTGCTGTCCGGGTAAGCGAACCACAACGCTGCAGCGGAGATTTGCCCCCATGCCGAGGCGCCCCAGTCTACGGACGGTATGGAACAGTTCCCACCAGTACAAGAGGAAACAGCCCGCGCTAACTTGTGCACAGTCCGCTACCTCCTGCGACTAATTCTCTATGAGAGTCAGCCTAAGGAGCTCGGAGTGGAGACTCTGCCTCCTCGGTCTTCATGCCAACTTGCGCCGTAATAAGTAGTAATAATTACTACAAGCCCATACATAGTAGGTAGTATTGATGACTAGTAGTAGACTAATTAGACCCAGTCTGAATCCCCATTGATTTCCCTGTTGCCTTTGTATTCATGCTTGTGCAGAAAGAACCGTGGTGCTTGCTCAGTATCTGAATTGTTCTTGTTACATGCTTTTTTATCGGATTAGAATGGGAGCAAGCCCTTTAGTAAGTTTTGTTTGGCCTATAAGACTGATTTTTAAAGGAACATGGTATTTGGAAGAGTTACACACGCGGCTGACATTCCGATTGACGGCATGAGCTGCATGACATTTCCGAGTCTCTGATGGGAACGGGATATGCCCAAGTGAGTACAAAGTAGTCTCTTACCGTAAGAGAGAGTAAGTCATCTTACAAGGTTGATATCAATGGAGAGTCTTGCCGTCGACGGTTCCAGACTTCGATATGGAGCGTCGGCTGAACAGTGCGTCGATTTCGTGGAGCACCTAGCTCCTCGCTGTACACGGGAAGAATTACTGGTATTCGCTGCTCTTGTTGCTCACCCACACCCACCCCCCCTCCCCCCCCCTATCCTATTCAAGGGTGATCGGTAATATGTCCTTTTGAAGCTACGCATGAAGTCGTAGAATTCAGCCTGGGGGTTATGGGAACGGCTAATACGCGCGCTCTATTATGCAGTGGCACCTATCTAGTACTAACTCGTTTATAATGTGGGGCTTTACCGGTAGCTCAAATTAATGGTATGATATTCTTCCGGGCTATCCTGTGGCTTTCTTTTAACACTTGCAAACTTTCCTCTCTCCCTCAATTTGTCGGAGGACACAGGGATATTTGGCCGACCGGCGTGTTATACGCTCTGCTCTCATGAAACTGCCAACAATTATACGAAGACATGGATTACTATAGGTTCACCTTCCTCAGTTCAGTACTCTCTTGGTATGGGGCACGCAAAAAAGGAATAGAACTACCTATAAAACCAGACAAGACAGCCAGCGCTAAAATCCCGGACTATCTTAGCACTTAACTACACAGTAGCAGTTCTGCTCCGAACGCGTTTGAATGGATCCTCGGTCATTCTCGGGTGCGGGTGGGGAGCTCGGCGGAGGCAAGTAATGTCCGTGCAGCCGAGATAGGTACGCGTCTGTTTCAGTTACCTAGAAGACTGTTGTGCATGTGTGTGGCTGCTATTTCCAGGAGCTAAATTATATTCCAACTGCAGTAACCACGCGAATGTACATTTTGAAGAACGCCCTTATTCTCTGCGGAGAGGCCCAGAATATACTATACGCACTTGGTACTAGGGCCGCGGAGGAAGACGGAATACAAATAGGAGAACGTCAAAGCAATGCAACGTCGCCTTGTTTATAGTCTATACTAGCCTATGACTAACGGATCGAGACGGAGCAATTCCATATAAAGCATGGGGACCGATAGTGTTTAATATGAACCCTTGTAAAGCTACAACATGTAGATTGCCCATCAATTTAAATCGTTATATTGGAACAAATGAACATCATGTTCCCGAACTAGTGAGGAAAGATCCCTAATTGAATCCCTTAGGCAACTGCATCCAGATATTCTTGTTGTGTTTAGGTTGATGTTAGGCTCTTTACGGAAGAAAAAATTCCAAAACTGTGAGTCTTTTTCTATGGTACTGTATATACGTAGACATACTACATCATGTAGAGTGTGTTCACCATCTCCTGCTAGCTGCTTATTGCTAGTTAGGTGATCATTTAGCTTAAAATCCCGAACCTCGATCTAGTCCGGACGGTAGGGTGTAGGACTGCTTGAGTGGAGGAGCCCCGGCCTAGCCTTGGGGCACATAGCCGTTTAAGGTGACTTGCAGGAGGGTTGATTATCATCTGCAGCCACTAAGGCTGGTGGGTTATCTGTACCAATAACTACAAAGGAGCAGCCCGTATGATGGCCGGCCGTGGTTCCAGCAGCACGCGTCCTCGATGCCAAGATAACATTGACATATTACCATGCGAGTCAAGTCTTTATTGGGAAATAGAGCTCGGGCCGCACGTTCATTGTTACTAGCGATGCTAATCGTGTGTGTGGAGTTATTGTCTCTATCCATGCTCTCGAAGAGATTACAGCGGTCCCATGGATGATTGGTTGAGAATCCCGAGAGCCACACAATACTAAGTACTTACTACTACTAACTACTACACACTTTGGTTCTCCATGCCCTGATTTTGTCCATACCACTGCTAAAGTAGTACTTATTGGTTACGCCTGGGCTATCCGAGTAGGCTACTCTTGTCCATGTACGTAAGTGAAGAGCTACTTGTAGGATTCACACATAGTCGTCCAAATGATAGACCCACGATCGCTGCTAAGGCCAATCGAATACCAATCATGGCTATTCCTCCGGAATTGGTTGATGACGAGATAGTAGTCGATCGTTAGCAAGCGAGACGCATAGCCCCCATTGATATCTGAGATCTACTAAGCAAGCCACAAGCTGCATATGGGACTCCGTGTCTACCGGTGGGGAGGGACGGTTGGCCGAAGAAGCCCATTAAAATTCCGCTTTGGTCAAGCGGCCCCAGTGACTTCGCGAGTTAAAATTGTGAGGCAACACCAACATTCCTCTACAGGAGCACATGTGCAGGAGCTGTGCTCCGTGAAAGTGAATAGCTATGTCAATGTGATCTTCCGAAGCACATGACTGCTCGGGACTGTGACTCATGGGAAGTTTTCTACGATATACCTTACAGCGTACAGTCAAATTCCAGCTACTCAAGAATATCATTACGGCTCAGAGTTGATATTCATGTTCTGATTTGGTATGCCAGAGACCTCTGTCTCGGATTAACTTTCAGCTGATAAATGCATGTTCTCGGAGCCGACCAGGCTATGGGTCATGACATTACTAGCTGAGAGACAATGGTGTGTCACTGTCTGGGGAATGGTCTCGACTTCGTATTACTTCCAGCCTATGGTAGCATTTGTTGCTGTTAAACCCCACCCAAGCTTCGTGATCCATTCTTAATTAGCGGGCGACTGGTTGTGGGAGGCAGCGAGTGCAGGTAGTGGGCTTAAATGAGACGGGGTTGGGAGATCGCCGCTAGGATCACCGTTAACCTGAACGTTTTTGGTTTGAGGCCAATGAGGCCATAGCTACCACCGATTCTGTATTGTGCGTAAGTTCCCCAGCACACTGTCAGTGGTATGTTAGGGGGGCTTGCTCTTCGCTCTCTGCTCTTTTAAAATAACCCTTATCCCATGTATACAAAATCCAATTTCAAGTAGAACTTCACCATGGAATGGATTTTTGGGCAAAAATCCGTTTCTCTCTGGAACGAACCAGAGACCCATCCTTCACCTGCCCTCGATATTGGAGGGTACATGGGGGTGGTGTGCGTGTGTCACAACCTTTTGACAAAATTGTAGCCTAGTGCGCACGCAGTAGCTGGAATTGCTTAGCGAGGCACGCAGTCCCGTTCGGTGTATTTTGTTACATAGCTCTTACCGTCTCTTCATTTCTGAGATAGTTCGCCTTTTGCAAAAAGTGGGATTACAAAACGCGAGATCCTGTGCTTATTCTGTAATTACTGGCTGAAAGCTACCACTACCATCTACAGACGCTAAGTACGAGATGATAAAGAAATCCACATCTGGAATGTGGTGAGAAATGGTCACTCGGTCTTCGGGTCATTTTCTTTCCCAGGGACCTTATCTCAAATTCCCGAAGAACTTTGGAGTTGCTTATCTTTCTCTCCTTTTAATTTCCATGGTCGCAGTGTCATCGCTTAGTCTACCATAACATAACTTTGTCCGGCTGACTTTCATTTTTACAGGTTTATTATGGGCTTGAGAGGCTCAAAGAGCTGTGCTGATCGGAACGGGCCAAAAAGAAATTATCAAAGAGGGGGGAAAAAAAGGAAAAGAAAGAAAAACAAAAACAAACGCATTTTCTTTTCTTCAATTGCGAAAATCACTATCCCTATGCCATCAACAGAATATGAAGAGAATTATGAGGGTTGGATGGTAGCATGTGAACTAGTAACCTCGATTATTTTCACATAACTTCCGACCACTGGAAAGGTTTGTTCTCCTTTCTGACAACTATTTCATTTATTTCCCTTTACCACTCCCCCCCGATTCGTTTTCCTCCCGATCGGAGGAGCTTCTTGTCTAGGCCGATGGTCTGCTATGTTGGCTATTTTAGTTCTCACCAATGCCACTAGGTAGTATGCAGCAGCAATCTGCACCTGGATAGAATTAGAAGTTGTATGTTGTTACAGGATCAGACTTCTCAGTTGATAATTCGAAAGGATTATATGTCGTCACTATCATGTATGGAACAGCTGTGACTTCACTTGTAGTGGCCATTCTTCTCCTTTGAGAATTCTGGGAAATCATGATAATGGCAAGCTTGACATGTTAAGTTGAATTTATTGGTAATGCTTCAATAGTGGGAGCATGTTATCTCTCTTCACAAAGACGTTAAAATACGCATGGGAAAATAAACAAGGGAGTTTCTTTTTTTTTTTTTTTTTTTTTCTTGTTGGTTGATCATACAGCCGACAAACGAACTCTGGCCCCCCACCACCTCTTACCAAGTATTATCTAGGTGATTTAGTCTGTCGGCTCATCGGCGTCACTTGCCCATCGGGAATGATGAATGAGCCACCGATGATTTTATGTTAGGTTTAATCCAATCCTTTTTTCTTTTCTTCATTTTTTTTGTGCCCTCCCTTTGATTTTACTATTATTGTTATAGACATTTTTGTTATTTTTGTTTTTATTTTCATTATTGTTGTATTATTAATATGTTTATTCATTCTAGCGTTCCTTGCGTATGACTGTATACTTTTGCCCCTTTCCTACTATTTGATCCACCTTGACTGGGGAAAGAAAGAGGCGGAAAAGAAAAGAAAAGAAAAAATAATAATCAAAACAGCAGAATAGAACAAGGTAAAAAAAATATCAAGGAAGAAGAAAAGAGGGGAAGTAACTCCAGAAAGCGAAAATGGAGAATGTATCATCCTGTTGCAGGGGAGGAGGGGGTGTGTATGACCATGGACGGTGGGAAGGAGGGAGGCACCTCTCTACTCAGGCCTCGCTCTGGTAAAAGTACCTTAGAGAGAGGTGGCTAGTACGAGGAGATACTGGGCCTACTCCATAATAATGACTCTCGTGTTTAGGAAGTCTACGGCGTCCCGGGCAGGATGCGCAGCACAGAGTGGACTAGATAGTGCTAAGGAGGTACTAGGACGGACCGGTTAGTACGGAATACTACACCCCCAAAGGCCCCAACACAGTTAACCACTGCGAATTTCGGAGACGCCCACTAACGTGCTCTTAGCTCCTACTTTAGCCTTAGAAAACACACCCACACACCATTAACAGTCTCCACCTCTCTGGCCCATGTCACTGCAGTGGACTGCACAGTAGCTGCATGGACCGCCGCCAATCCTTTCTCCACCCGCATTATCCTCCATCAGTCCATCTAGATCCAGGGTCTCTGACGCACGAGGCAAAAATACACCTGCATGACACTCAAAATGACAAAGGAACTGGAGCCCACAAGTAACTTATTTATATTTCTCTCTAGGGATTGGCTCAACCCATTGTCTGGATGCCGGACTTGAACATGTGCCTTCCCTGCCATTCCGTGCCATCGACTCCATCTGCAACAAATAAGAATCCCCAATGTTGCATGTCCGCCCATAGGTATTCCCATCTTCTGTGAAGCCAATTGACCTCAGAGCTGGTCTTTTTGTTTCTCAGAACTTCCTGACGAGGTCTTGGGCAATCATTCTTCCCAGACATTCGTTTATCTTGTTTTCCTCTTTCTTTCTCTCTCTTTTCCTCTGCCTCCGTCCTCCTATCCCGTTCATACTACTCGGAGACCATATAATCATATTCTTTCTGTCTCTCCTCTGCTCAAATTTGCTAAGTAACAACAAAACTTCTATACTATATTGCCAGAGCGGTGCCCAGCACTTTCGTTATTTTCTTCACCCCCGATAGCGCTGCGCCCCCTGCGAGCACAGTGCGCAGTGTCAGTCCCGGTTTCTGTAGTTTGATTCCGCATTGGCGAGAGATCGGGGGCGAAACTCGCACTTGGAGTGAAGTTTATAGCGACTGAAACAATCAATTGGCTTGAGGAGAGTAATCCTAGGCCTGATCAGATTGTTTCAATCATGGAGTTTCCATTCTTGCGAGCATTTATTGCCCTCTTGTTAGTATTGACCTGAACTCTGGCCTGGAGCTTACTTTTGATGTATCGCCAGTGGTTGGACATCTGATCGTATCAAGGTTCTCTGGCTGACTTTCCTGATACATAGTTTATATCGCTACTTCCGCCTTGTTGTGAATCTCTTTTCTTTCTGGACGTTCAAACCAATTCCTCCGCCAGAAAATCCGAAGTTAACTGCCCAAGATGTAACGGTTATTTTACCAACGTTAGAGGGGTGTGGTGATGAACTCGTGGAAACCATAAGAACGATTCTCGACACCCAGCCTTATGAACTTCTTCTGGTCACCATTGAAGCGAATCGACAAAAGGCCGAGAATATGCTGAGCTTGATGCCCGCTTCGAAGTCAAGAATCCGCTTGTTCACCGTTACCCACCCCAACAAGCGCCGACAAATGACTAGAGCGATCCCGGAAGTCCGAACTACTATCACGGTATTCGCAGATGATGACGTGAGCTGGCCACGCACAGTCCTCCCTTGGATGCTAGCACCTTTTGAGAAGGATGAGCGATTCGGTGGTGTGGTAACTTGCCAACGTCTACGACGGGCTGTTTCGCCATCATTTTCTCAACGCATATGGGGATTTCTGGGCGCTCTTTACTTGGAACGAAGAAACTTCGATTGCGCGGCAACAACGCATATTGACGGTGGGCTTCCCTGCATGTCCGGCCGGACAGTCGCATACAGAACAGATATCCTTCAGAATGAAGGCTTCACGTATGGATTCACGAACGAGGAATGGTGGTTCGGGAAGTACCAATTGAACGCAGACGACGACAATTTCATTACCCGCTGGATGGTGTCACATGGCTGGGAGACTTTCATGCAATATCATCCTGAAGCGGAGGTCCTGACAACTCTGGAAGACAACCCCAAGTTTCTCAAACAGTGCGCGCGCTGGTCCCGAAGCAACTGGAGGAGCAACCTTACAAGCATGTTCCATGAAAAACACATCTGGTAGTAAGTTTACCCTTTTTAACTTGTCTGGCGGGTGTGCGTACAGTGCACACCGGGACGGATGTCTATGTCCTGTTATGAATTGGCCTTTCATTCACGGACCCTACTCGCTTCCTGCATCATTAGTCAATGATGCCGTTGAATGCAAAATTTCCCTTCATTCTGATTATAATTTCCCGGATACTACGACAGACTTAAGGAACTGGTCTTGGAAGGCTGGATCGTTCTTAGTCTTGGTAACCGACTGTGGAAAATTTTTGTTTGGCCACTTACTGCAAATGTCTGTCTGATCCGCACGCTAACGTTTGGTTTACTGTAATACTACTAGTCGCCAGCCTTGGAGCGCATACGCTGTCCACTTGACGACGCTTTCGCCGCCAGCTCTCCTCGGCGATTTATTGCTCCTTATACTTTGTCACAAGGCTACGGTTTCTTGGGACAATGATACGCACGCGCTAGCTATGCAAGCTCTCGGACTGTGGATGTTTATAAGCAAGTTCATCAAACTTCTCGGACATTACATCCGTTACCCGGTTGATGTTATCCTTTTGCCGGTGTCCATTCTCTTCGGCTATTTTCACGGGGCTATTAAAATATACGCCGTGCTAACTCTGAACGTGGTAAGTTGCAGCACCCCAACACAACATAAGTTCTGGTCCGTTGTTTCGTTTCTACAGAGGGTGCATGTACAAGTGCAGCCTAGTATCTTTGGGCGACGCTTGTAGCATGGAAGTGGGCTCTAGCCCTTGGCCTGCTTCCGTGCTCGACACCCAACCCCTCCCATAATGCAATTGCATTGGCCATGGGCCTCACCTCATTCTCACCCTTTCTGTATCCACCCACGGCCTTCCCCGTCTTGGTAACCCGCTTTTGCCTCTGCATCGTTTTAATTTTTACTTGCGTTTCTTTTTGCCTTCTGGCCTTCTACTTTTGTCTCAGCTTGCTTGTCGCTTTTTCTTTCGGGTTTCTCTCCTCATTATTGGTCTCATTTCCCTTTTCTTATCATCTGTGCTTCGCTGTCCGAACAACCTAGTGCGGTGGCTGTTACTTGTTCCGTCTTATTGTCTGACCTCTGATTCTTCACTTTCTCACCCAACATCTGGCCTCTATTGAACGAAGACTACTCCCTGCTATTCGACTCAGATTTGCTAACTAAACCATTTTTTTTTTTCAGACCACATGGGGTAGCAGAGACGGTGCCGATGATTATGACGCGGAGCGGATGAAGAAGCGAACGGACACGGATCGTATGAAACGGCCTTATTACCCGAGTTACATAACTCAATGAAGCCCACATGCGCGATGTGTGGACGTGTGTTAAATTACTAAATGCCTTTGCTTTTACCTTGAGCCAACCTTATATCGTGTCCGTGGCTAGCGACTGCTCGCACTCCAGGCGTGCTTGCCCTGCTGGTTACTGAAGCTCGCCTATGATATCCCAGCGACCTTCCAGCAATCGCTCTAAACTCTCGGTTGCACGATACACAATTACGACGAAATGCCTTGATGACGCTAAATTGGGAGCCATGAGATTAGGGTTCCCATGGCCTTCAGTTGATGTATAACTTCTCTTTGCACAAATATTCTTATCTTTCCACTTGACTTTTTCCCGGAGGTTTTGTGGACCGATCCTGTTGCACGCACGGTCCCGTTCAGAAAAAACATCTTTTCTACGCTCGGATTGACTTCTCTTTCTAACATATCCCCTGTATCTGTCCTTTTCTCGCTGGTTGATTGGTGGTTGTCGTTTGGGTCCGCAACACCAGTACCTGACACTCGTCGACCCGACCTTACCACTCCTGAACACACAAGTTATTTCAAGGATTCTGGGTTCTGTAAATTATAAAAGCGTGGGCGGATTCTTCTTCTATCCAAATTGGCATTGCTAATTAACGTGCTGTTTCCCTCACTGCCGCCTGTATGTTCAGGTTTTCCTTCCCTTTTCATCATCTTTGCTTTTCCTACCGCTAGACTCTGCATGTGGGAAAATTTGCCGGAGAGTTCCGTTTTCATTATCGATTTGGGTCTGGTCTCCTTCGTACACTCTATGCATAATACCTAATGCTCAATATGCCATCAAGAGAATCAATTTGGAACATGCTGTGCTTATGAAAAGGGTGCGATGCGATGTATCGCCATTCCGGAAATTTCGCTTGTAGATAAGCGTCGCCAGGCATCGTCGCACATAGTGCTGCAACTGATGCTCATATGTATTATCTCTCTTTTCACTCGCTCCGTACCATAACTACCTTTGTTTGCCCTTGTAAGAAGCAGGTGGACAGCAGAACCACCTCTATTCTGCTGTCTTCATCATCTATCGTTGCTTCGATGCAGCGACCAGCAAATATTGTATGTGGCGTAACTGTGGCGCATGTGGCGTTGCAATCGGAGACTGGCTTAGTAGTGTGGTTTTACTACTTAGTTCTCCGCAGTACGGCTTAGGAACAAGCTCAACCTCCGATTTCCCAATTTGCCCGCTGCACACGAGAAAAGACGCAGCAATCCGGTTGAAGGATTTGTAGAACTCCAGGAAGAGCCGCGCCCGATTTCTCATATCATCGTCGAACCATCTCCTTTGCAATCGCTCGCTCATTTGACTGAGAGGCGATGCCCGCGTTTCATCGGGCTGTTGCAGCTATTTCGCGGCAGGCAGTATTCAGAGGTGTGCAGAGTCAACATGTTGTCGCACGTTCTATCAGTGCCTCAGCATTGAAGTCTGCCATTGCTCATCCCATTACTACTCACGGCCCGCCACCTAAGGCCCCTTCACCTACACCTGCCAATGCAGAGCTACTACAGAAAGATGCGTCTTCGCATCAGAAAAGCGAGAAAAGTCCGCTGCCAGGGAAATCATCTGTGCTTAAGAAGCGTTTCTGGAAGAATGTTGATGTTAAGCGGAAGTCAGGTACGCACTTGTTCTCTTGCGATCAGTCTACACGGGACACTTGCGTTAACATGTTTTGTTTCTTAGATGGGGATTATCAGGTTTTGCTAGACACACGCCCTATTCGGACACCTTCCAAAGACGTATTATCCATACCGTCAACGAAGCCTTATCTTGCACATGCGATCGCGCTGGAATGGGATGTCATGACCACTGCCCAGCAAGCGCTAAAGAACCACCTTATCCCATTAACTTCTCTGACCGCTCGAGCAGCGGATATTGCTGCAGAAGATGCTCGAGGCGAAACTACTACGAGAGATCAAATAGTGAAGACGGCGATGCGGTATTTGGAAACAGACACCTTGTTGTGTTGGGTGCCGGAGCAGAATGTTTACGCTGCTGATGAAGTGGATGCCGATGGGAAGAAACCGGAAAGTCTCCGAGAGGCCCAAATCCGGGTCGCTAAAGATACAATTGCCTTCTTGAGCACCAAAGTATGGCCCGGCGTGGACATTCAGCCCATTCTTGACACCGATAGCATACTACCTGCCTCTCAGCCTCAGGCTACAAAAGACATCATTCTGCAGTGGATATCTGGTCTGCAGGCTTACGACCTGGCGGGACTGGAGAGAGGAGTGCTGGCCGCAAAGAGCTTGTTGATTGCAGTCCGTCTGGTCGCTGAATGGAGTGAGACGTTCCGAGAGGTGCAACGACCGGGGCGAGAGAGGTTCGGCATTGAGGAAGCAGCGGAAGCATCCAGTCTGGAAGTCAGGTGGCAGACTGATATGTGGGGAGAGGTTGAGGATACCCATGATGTCGACAAGGAAGATTTGAAACGCCAGCTCGGCAGCGTCATTGTATTGGTTAGTGGAGAGACAAGGTGACTGATCTAATGCATTTCATTAGAACCGAGCCGTTGGGATCACACCTTTTGTACAATATAAGTCCACAGAGATTACTGTCACTGTTTTATTAGAGAGCAATGTAACTACAGAGAGCCCCTTTCCGCCTGCTGTGTCCATCTCGCGTAGTCGTCCGGAGGTAGTGAAACCCATCCGTCTTGGCCAACGCGCGGGAAGAAGAACATCGTCACCATCTCCGTCATTCCTTGCGCCTAGTCACGAAAATTGTACGCCAATCAGTCCAGAAATCTTCACTGACTTCCATGTTAGCTTGCCTGGCACCCTGCGATAATAATTCATCCGGTCTCCCTCAGCCAGTTCCGGGTCTAAACAAGTGTTGGAAGCCAGCGAGAGATGACGGAAAGGGGCGAAGGGTGAGTAAACTCTCTCTGCCGCTTCGGTTCCCCAGGACCTTGTGGTTGAATTACCGCAAGCCATACCCCATCTTCCCTTCAGCTATCTCACCTATGAATTCTGGGTTGATTCATAAGCCTTTGCTGGGTTGTTTCTGAACCCAACCTTCGATCAGAACATAGGGAGCTCTCTTGCCCGATCAGAGACCTGGGGTTGCCCCGCAAATTGGGCGCTTCGCTCGCTAACATAACATACTGTGTCGCAGACATAAACGCTCTCGAAGTTCCCTGGCATTGGCCATTTTACACCGTGATAGGTCGAAGGATACCGGTGAAGAGTCGGTCGTTCGCGATAGTGGCTCTTCCGAATCCGCCACGTCTTCCCTTGTCAATAGTACTCCATCCATATCTGGTGTTCCAGCTACCCGAAGCTCCAGCCGCCGAAGTACACGCCCCCAAGAGCCAAACCTACGTCCCATGTCTGCTGAACCGTCTCTGGAGCCCGCAGGCCCTCACAGAAGCGGTGATAACATTGAGAAGCTACCCTCCATATCACATGCGGAGACCAGTAGCATGTCTTTAGATCAGTCAGTCCGGACTTTTCGCCTATTCGAGATCTTACGGAGCGGAGACACGAATGCGATTTCGAAAGCTATTAGAGAGACTAAGGAGCCGCAGGGAGCGAATGCCCTTTCTGGTACAACTATCCTCCACCTTGCGATTCAATGCGCTGAACCGCAAGTTGTCGAATTCGTGCTGTCCGCCAGCGAGGACCTTGACATAAACGCGCGTGATCGGGAGGGCAATACACCTCTTCATTTGGCCGCTCAGCTTGGACGAGGTCCTGTGATCCGCGAATTGCTAAACCAACCCTCTATTAACGATTCGATCATCAATTACAACGGCCAGACAGCTCTTGATATTGCGCGCACCCCAGAAATCTTCCAGCAACTTCAGCTAGCTCGCTCACTGTTCATTGACGTCAAGACCCAAGAGATCCAAGCGCTCGTCTCTCAAGGAGAATACGAGAAACTGGAGAAGGTGCTCGAAGAGCCCCGTGTAGAGGGCAGCATCGATGTCAATAGTTTGGATCTGGTAACGGATCCTGCCACTGCCCAGTCTGGGGGCACGTTGTTGCATGAAGGGGCAAGGAAAAAAGATACACAACTTATTCAGATCCTATTGATGCATGGAGCGGATCCCTTCCGTCGTGACAAGAAGGGAAAATTGCCTCAGGATGTTACTAAAGATGACAAGACCCGTGCGATTGTCAAGAAATCCCCAGCAGCAGTCATTGCACAACGTGGCATACAAGAAAAAGCGATTCTCGGCACCAGCGCAGCTCAAGGTGTGCCTGGCCGCTCAGGCGGAAGCGAGGCGCCTTTTGCTGGCAAGGAAGCTCGTGAAATGAGGGGTTATTTGAAGAAATGGACCAACTATACAAGTGGCTATAAATTGCGATGGTTCGTTCTAGAAGATGGTGTGCTGAGCTATTATAAACACCAAGGTATGATGCTTTCCGGTCTGGATAGATGTTTCTTAGCCATAGCTGACTGGGCTCTTCTTGCAGATGATGCGGGCTCCGCCTGCCGAGGAGCGATCAATATGAAAATTGCTAGGCTCAATATGGATGCCCAGGACAAGACCCGCTTCGAGATCCACGGAAAGTCATCCGTTAAATATCATCTCAAAGCTAATCACGTTGTCGAGGCAAAGCGTTGGTTCTGGACCTTGAACAATGCCATACAATGGGCCAAGGATGAGGCAAAAGAGGAAGAGAGGCGTCAATCGAAACATGCAGAAGTACTTCGCCAGGCCAAGATTGAGCAAGTGGAAGGCCGACTGTCCGAGACCAATTCCGACCCTCCAAGTTCAGCTGTTCCAAGATCCAATGTGAAGAGCCTTGCGCCCCCTTCTATCAATGTACCAAGTAGCAGTGGCACACGGCTCAGCACGTACGCGTCCCACACGACCGCAGGAAGCGCGCCCGAAGACGAGGAAGGCTCCCTATACGGGTCAATGGAGCATGCCGCTGCACCGAATGAAGTCAATCGAGTGCTGAGCCATGTGACCATGGCGCCAGATATTGACGGGGATGACGAAGAGGAAGGTGATTATGCATCCAGTCATGATATGCAGCCCACGGACAAAGATGCTTTGAACATCACTGCCGAGTCAACGAAACTCCAGCTCGACATCCTTGCCAATGTCGCGTCTTCGCTGCAAGCAGAAAAGTCAAAGAATCCTACCACATCACTTTCCGATCCAGCTGTCGATCAGGCTTTAGTTGCTTATGAGGCAGCTGTGAGTAGTTTACAAGGCTTAGTGCAGAGCCTTCTGAAGATATCCCGGGACCGAGATGCGTATTGGCAGTATCGCTTAAATAGGGAGGCATACTTGCGCAAGATGTGGGAGGAAAGCATGGCAAGGATCGCCCAGGAACATGAGGAGCTCCAGTCACGAATGGGCGAGTCCGAGGAAAAGCGTAAGCGTACCAAGCGGGCGTTGAAGGAGGCGTTGGAGTCAACAGCCACGAGCCGTGCAGTCAGTAAAGCTCCGTCGCGCGCGCAGGTTGCCAGTGAAGAAGTTGCCGATGCCGAACGCGAGACCCAAGAGCCGGAACCAGCACAAGTCTCACCAGAATCCGAAGTTCAAGAACTTAGAGGTACCCTTCGTCGTAGGAAGTCGGCTATGTCCAATATCAGCAATCTCTATGACTCGGAGTCTGAGGAGGAAGACGAGTTCTTCGATGCCATTGATTCTGGAGAAATTGAGGTGGAGAAACTTGCCGGCTCGGAGGACGACGAACAGAAGCCTCGGGAGGAGACCAATGAGCTCCGAACGGCGAAGAGATCTGAAATCGTGCCTTCGTTCAAAGGATATGAAGAGCCCATCCGGCAGAGACTCAAGATGGACTATGACAATAGACCGAAGATTTCACTCTGGGTATGTTATCACCCCTTTTGGCCGTTGAGATCGTATGTAGCTACTGACATGTGCTTGTTTCTAGGGAATCTTGAAGTCGATGATTGGAAAGGATATGACGAAGATGACTCTCCCCGTCTCCTTCAATGAGCCTACATCCCTGCTTCAACGCGTGGCCGAGGACTTGGAATACGCAGATCTACTCGATGTTGCGGCCGACCGACCAGATTCGATGGAGCGTCTAGTGTATGTCGCTGCGTATGCTGCAAGTGAATATGCTTCTACGATTGGTCGTGTTGCTAAACCGTTCAATCCTCTTCTCGGGGAGACATTCGAATATGTCCGGCCGGACAAAGGCTATCGGTTCTTTGTCGAACAAGTTAGCCATCATCCCCCGATTGGTGCTGCTTGGGCTGAGTCGCCAAAGTGGGACTACTATGTAAGATTTATATGCGTGCTTCCCTCTGGATATGTGATTGACGCTGACCTCATTTCTCGTATTATTCGTAGGGCGAGTCTGCTCTCAAGTCCAAGTTCTACGGGAAGTCGTTCGACATTAACCTCTTAGGAACATGGTTCCTAAAGCTACGGCCAGCATCGGGAGGGGAGGAGCTGTATACTTGGAAGAAGGTCACATCTTCCGTCATTGGCATTATCACCGGTAGCCCCACAGTGGACAACTATGGCCTGATGGAAATCAAGAACTGGACCACAGGCGAAATCTGTTATTTGGATTTCAAACCAAGGGGCTGGAAGGCTGCGTCCGCATATCAGGTGACGGGCAAGGTCGTGGATCGGGATGGGTCGCCCAAGTGGAGTATTGGCGGCCGATGGAACGATAAGATCTACGCGCGCCATACCCCTGGGTTCGAGGCGACAGTTTCCGGCCAGGATCCTGAATCGGCCAAAACGTTTCTGGTCTGGCAAAGCCATACTCGGCCGAGCGGGATTCCATTCAACCTCACGCCTTTCGTTATCACTTTGAACGCTTTACCCGAAGGGCTCAAGGAGTGTCTCCCACCTACCGACACGCGCCTTCGACCCGATCAGCGTGCGATGGAAGAGGGTGAGTATGATTTAGCCGCCACGGAGAAACATCGAGTGGAGGAGAAGCAGCGCGCCAAGCGGAGAGAAAGAGAGACCAAAGGCGAGGAATATAAGCCCAAATGGTTTAATAGGGCCAAGTGCCCGGTCACCGGTGAGGAGTATTGGGCACACAACGGACAATACTGGACGAGTCGCGAGAGCGGCGACTGGAGCGCCTGCGAGGACATCTTCTAGCTTACTACTATTGGCCTTGAGTTTCGCGAACGGACTGTCTCTACCTCTGTAATTAAAATCCAATGGACTCGTGCCTTTACTATTATTCATCCTCTAGTTGTACTCCCTAGTAAGGTACTATTTCTGGGGACCGGCCGGGTGCAATCACGTGCACGCGGGCGAAAAGGACCGCCGCCGCGTGGGAGAATCAAGCCACTTTTTGCTGCAAGAGTCCTGTTCAAGCGTCGCGTTGCACCCACAATGACCGGCGAATATACTTGTGGGCGCTGTCTGCAGGTGCTCCGGCGAAGGGCTGTTGTCCAGAACTCCGTGGCTCGCTGGCATCATGTCACCAGTCCAAGGCGAGGGGGATACGGCTTTCCCGCTTCATGCGTGCGGAGCTTGAGCTCTCGGAGCAGTGCTTCCTTTAAGACCAAGCCTCTGCAGGCACCAGTCCAACAGAATGGTTTGTCGTCCAACTTGTCGGCCTCCTCAATTGCATCACAAAATGTCAAGTCGATGGTGCAGAAGGCCACATCTGCCACATCTACCGCCTCGCCAGAGGCCCGGGCACTTCTGAAGCCGAACAACCTGTTTCACTCCTTCTCCCAGTCTCCAGCAGCTGCAATCCGACAGCGTGCGGCTTTTATCAAGCAGAACGCTTTCTGCCCCCATCCGAGTCATCAGCAGACTCGTTTGCCTCTCTCGCCCCACGATCCTGAGTCGCGCAAGAGCCAGGTGACGTCGGAAAGTCTGCCGCCCGCGCACTCTCATTTCGAATGTCCCGACTGCGGTGTTCCGATTTACTGCTCCGAGGGCCATTGGATGGACGATTTTGAGGCCCATCTGGAGATTTGTGAGACAATTCGACAGATCAATGAAGACGACCATGATCTACACTCCGGTCGGTTTTTCCCGGAGTTCTCGTACCCCGGACTGCAGGACGATAACTTTGTCATTAACATGACGAATTGGGACACTTTCCTCTACACACGAGAATTTGAGGCGATTAACGATGACCGAAGCATGCGACAAGTAACGAGAATGCTCACGTACCCTCTCACAATCGGAAGTGTCCTGCATGAGTTGAGCCCTTACAATGTCCGGAAAGAAGGCCGGCTTACCGTGGAGGGTCTTAAGAGTGTCAGTGGTAAGTTGAAAAGTTTATAAATATAAAGTCGTAGGACCGCCGGCTAATTGATTGGCTCTATTTAGCGCTCCGGTACACCCTCCACCCGCCCAAGACCGGAGAGGGTGTCGACATCCAAGGACTACGACTTAAGGCTCCTCCAGTGCGCATATTTATTCTGGGGGCTCGCGCTGAGTCCTCGTTGCCGCGTGAAGTTTGGCTTCAACTTAGCTACATATTCCCGCGCTCCCTGATCCATTTGATCTTCATCGGACCGGAGAGTATGGCCAACCGGGATGATGAATTCCCGCTGCCCGAGCGCACGTCCGAGAATCCCTTCGGTGGTATTGTGGAGGACAGACTTGGAGGACAATTCAAGATTACGACGTACGTTGACTACTTCCACACGATGTACAAAGCGCAGTACTTCCAGCCTTTTGATCCCTATCTGGACTGCTTCATGCTCTTCCACCCGGGTCTGGGACACCCAGCCAGCTCTCACGAATGGGAGGAAACGCTCCCGCAGCTCCTCGAGACCAAGGTCCCGATCATCAGCACGGGATACACGCAGTGGGATATGGAACGAGACATCAACTGGGTCAACGAGAAATGTGCTGGTGAATTCGACATTTTGCTTGAACCTGGTGAGAACGTTTTCCGCAGTTTGCGCTGGGATCTCAACGATCTGGATCCCCATGACGTGTCCTGTGGTAACTGGGGTCTCTGGGCCTTCAGAGGAAAGAGATACGAGGCGACTTTCAAGGATGCATAGTTAGAGCCCGGGGACCTAATCTTTCCTTGACGTAACGCGATATCTTATTGCTTTTCCCTCTTTCTCTCGTTCTGTCCTCTACCCTGCATCTCCCCTTTCCCCCTCTGTACATTATCCTAGCTGCACTTCGTGTCTTGTTTTCGTTCATATGAATCAGAAATCGGTCACAATGATGCGATTGTAACCTGTTAGTCTTACTTCCTCTCTATATTGCTGTGTATATCCCTCGCTATCCTGTAAGCATGCTGGCCTTGGTCGAGTCAAAGGTAGAGAGTTTTAGGACACTGCCCAGCCGGATCTCACTCTTCTCTTTTAGTCTCCACGCTTACTATATCGGGGCATCTGATCCTGCTTCGGACGAATAGCAGAGTAGCAGGGATGATACCAAAAGGTTTTATAATGTAAGACAGAGCAGAAGTGAAGTGGAGGGTGGTGCAGTTTAGGAAGAGAATATAAACCCAGCCTCAAAGATGGATCAAGCAAATCATAACTGGGCTGAGGCAAGACTCAACGTTGGCCATGTAATGTTGAGTTCTAGTTCGCTCCATCATTGCAGATTGGCTGGAGTTCTAAGGGCCTCACAGGGAGCTGGAGCAAGCCACATACACTTACTTTTGTGCAACCTACTAAGTGGACAAAGGCAAATAATGAAAGAAAGAGAGAAAATCAATTAGTAGCAATTGCATGAACACGAAAATAAAGAAGGTGCAAGGTACTAATGTCACAACTTTGACAGATAAGCGAGCGCTGCCGACCCGTCAGATGGACATATGCAAGGCTAGTGAACTATAAACATGATGAAAAGTGAACACACGAGAGGGAACTGCTGTCCGAAAGGAGAGCTCAAAATCATAATTTGACGATAGTACATATATGGGATGCTTCTTCTCAGCGAGTTGTCGTTAGGAGTTCCTTTCTCGTTGCCACATCACCCTCTGATACTCAAATTTGGTGCAGACAGCTATCCATGCCACTCTGGTATTACCGAGAGGCATGACCATAAGACAGCAGTCCACTAGTAATCACTAGTAGTACTTTAGAGCATGATAAATCCTGCAGCGGCGAGGACCCCAGCAGCCACACCTCCAGAAAGCTGGACGGCCGGAGCGGCGGCCCCCGAGTGAGTAGCAGATGCTGCAGCCGCAGTAGCGGATTCAGAGTCCGAACCAGAGTTTGAGTTCGATTTTGAGTCCGCGTCAGTCGATGTCGTGGTTGTCGGGCGAGCTGATGCCTTGGTGATGTATGACCTGGTGAAAGAAGCTGATGAGCTGGCAATAGCGGAGCTGGAAATAGCGGAGCTGGAGACGCGACGGCTAGAACTTGCCATATGGCTTGGCGAAGCGGAGGAGCTGGGGTAGAATCTGACGCTGCTGCTGCTGCTGATGATAACACTGCTGCTGGCTGTATGAAGGGGGCTGGGCGAAACGGGAGTCGGAGTTGGTGCCAGCGGCGAGGATGCGACATGCGTGCTTGAGACGGGCACAGGTGTATCTGTGGGTTTGGCCTGCACCGCAGCAGAGGCGAACGGGGCGAAGGCCGCACAGGTAACGAGAAGGACCTTGGAGATATACATTTTATTTGGCTGGGTATGTATAAGGCTTGCGAATCAGAACGCTGAGTGGGATCAATATGCCACGCGGACTAGTAGTATGCACTAGAAACCAGGCTGAGGTATTGATGTTGATGTTGATATAGCGTTGAATGGCACTGGCGGTCTATGGAACCCTGATAGAAACCACAGCTAGTGGCTGATGCTGTTGAAGAAGTGTAATAGAGAGCGAATGGAGCTGGAAGGAGTGGCAGCTCTGGTGATGGGTGTATGTATGAAGAAGGAGCGACAGCGCAGCTGGTGAACTCCAGTTTAGAAATGCTCAGGAAGAAGGCGCAAAGAAGAAGAATAGGGGGGGGGAGGGAAAGACAGACGGGCTGAAGTGAGAGACAAAATGGAGCTGCCAAGGGGAGGAAAGGAGGAGTCAGATCTGACAGATGTCTGATGGGGCAGCCTGCCGTGCCCACTTTTGCTACTATGTACGTATTTAAAGGGAAGGCCATCGCCAGTGGATCCGGTCAGCAGTGAGACACGTCTAGATCATTGGATGGCGGATGAAACCCGAATGAGGCGTGACAAGATTGCATATCTGGACCTTCCAATATGAGCTTCTAGACCCTTGTTGCGGGAGGCCTTTGAAACGTGGTCAGCTCATGAGGATGCTGGTACATGCATGGCTGGAATGACGATCCCGGTGGAGAGGCTGCAACGGTTCTGCTTAATTAACCTTTAAGCTCATCCTTTGACCCATGGGAAAGGCAAGATCATCAGGTGCTTTCGTGGCAATAGATCGAGAGCGACACGGATGAAGCGATTCTTGGGGATGATGAGTGCAGGATCGAGGGTGGGGATTCAAAGGGAACATGAATTAATTAATCTGTTGCAAGTGGAGTCGACTGGGCTCTGCAAAGCCGAACACAAAGAAGAAAATCAAAATAGAATGGAATGGAATGAGGCAAAATGATATTAACAGACGTTCTTCTAACTTCAACGCCAAGCACATGGGTATCTTCCGCCCTCCGATTCGTCTTAAACTAGTAGTAAATGAAGAACTGAAGGAATACATAATGAGGGTTCATGATGTGGTCGGTGGTGGCACCTTGCTCGTCTCTAGTAAGAGTAGGACAATTACGTCCACACAATGCCCACCACGACGGCCACCATCATCCAATATCCAGATCCATGGACACCAAAGTGAGTTGCAGCTGAATCGGCGGCAGTCGTCCCGTTGGCCAGGGTGCCGTTGATATAAATTGATTCCGTGCCGTTTACATCAACCACCTTGGCCACGCTCGTATTCCTGGGCTGAGATCCATTGAATAAAGATTCATAGTAGGTGCCGTTACTATTCTCATCACACCCACATTCCAAATACTGTTGGCAAATGCAGTTCACAGGTAGGGACTCGTTTTTGTGCGAGGTATCGTTCATATAGTGGTAGTGATAGCTGTAAGGGTAGACATATGCCCCATACAACCAAAGGCCCGGGAAGTAGAGAGGGACGATAGCCGCTGGCAAAAGATAAGGTGTTACCCCCAAACGCGATCTTGCCCCTGATGTATAAGGGGCAGTGGCACCGCCTGCGTAGTAGTAGCCACCTCCATACGTCGGCCGGGTTCCAGAGCCACTGCGGGATGTGCCCCCAACGTTGCTTGAAGAGCTGACGGAGCTTATTAGTCTTGTGTGTCTTCTCCTTCGAATCGACTGACGTTGACTCACCTAGTTCTCGAGCTACTTCCACTACTCCCGCTATTCCCTGTGCGCCCACTGCTGCTGCTGCTGCTGCTGCTCCCTCCACTACCACTTCGACCACCACTTCCTCCTCCACTGCGCCCTCCCCCGCCACCGCCCCCACGCCGCTTAACTAGATCCAACAATGATGAAGAATCTGCGGAGAGAGATGCGTCTCGGGCCGCAGGCGGAATGCTGAGTGCGGTGACAAGGGTGATAAAAAAGAGGGCCAGCGCAGTGGCAACTGATAATATCTTCATAACAGATGGAAATGGATAGTGCGGTTTTGTGTGAAGTAAAAAGAATCTTTGTCGCACGCCGACACAACCATGCAAGGTGCTCGTCAAAGTAACACAAGCTGCAAGTCGGAAATCTGCAGAGGATCGACACCCGAGGTCCAGAGACTATCGTGACAGTGTACTCTGTCTGCTTGGTTCTATACAAGGTAAATAATCCAATCTAAGAACGGAACAAGGAGGAAGAGAGAGTAGATATATGATAAAGACTTTCTTTCTGAGTGAGAGTTTTGGAACGATAAAGGCGCAGCAGCATTGAGATAAAGAGTTTTGTTTGCTGATGGAAACTTCCCGGGCACTACTACTCCTCACCATGGATTAAGCTTCCGCTATGCATGCAGCCCGTTGGGTTTGATCTCCACACACACAAGGTGGGAGTTGGGAATTCTGCTGTATTGAGAATAAAGGGATGACATCGGATGGACCCTGCATATCTCCAGAGGCCTGGTTACATATGGCTGGGTAGGAGGATAATTAAATCCTTGGGTCCACCATCTCTGCGCCTCCGAGTGGCAATGCAACCAGACCCATCCAACAATTCATTCATGATTTATGCAGTTAGTCGTCTCCTCGAATCCTACGATGGATGATAGCCCTTCCTTACTCAGCAGTATTTGCATTTACTTCCTGTCATCTGCCTTCCTAGTACAGCCTAAACGAACACGAGCAGTCTATTCTCTTTTCCTCGTCCTCGCCACCTAGTGGCGTAAGGCTGAATTCATTTCAATCATCATCTGGAGTCTAGATAGTCATCCCGTGATGCTTATGTCCTCCAACAAAATTCGGTATGCATTATTAAAGTTATTGTTGAATTATCTGATGACCTCCGACAGAGCCTCATCATCAACTCCGCCTGGTGCCGAACAACCGAGCCTGGCTCGGCTTGGGAGTGCACAGCCTCCTTGTGGGAAACTTACTCTCCTCATTGTTTTTGTGGCTTCACAAGGGGCCTGTATACGGGTTCCCACATTTGCGCCCGAATCCACTCTTCTAACTCATCTTCATTCGTGGGAATTCCCTCCTCTTCAGCATGCCCTTCTTTGACTGCCGTCTTAATAATGGCTTTGGCGATGTCGACGCTAAGCTCCCGTACATCTCTGACATCAGGTAGGAGAGGTCCGTTGGGATCCTGCAGTGCTGGCGACCGCGCTGCCAATGCCTTGACTGCACTCACAAGCATCTTGTTGGACAACGTTCGTGTTCGCGACAGGACTGCGCCCAACCCGATCCCGGGAAAGCATGTCGAGTTGTTACATTCCGCTGCAACGTCAAGAGAGTCAGGCATCAGCTGGGACGATCCGATCTTCACTATGTAGTGGAGGATTCACATACCTATCTCATACTTTCCCCCGTTGCGATCGACGGGTGGGAAAGGGCTGCCGGTGGCTATCAAAGCCCGGCCATCAGTCCAACGTTTGATGTCCTCAGGCTGTGCCTCGTGCAGACGAGTCGGGTTACTGAGGGGGAATATGATTGGCTTTTCGACGTGCTTCGCCATTTCCCGGATCACGTCCTCGGTGAAAGAGTTCGGTTTAGTGGAGGTACCGATCAAGGCATGCGGCTTCACCTTCTTCACTACTGAAAGCAGATCGCGCGAATCCGCATCAGGCCACTCTTTGTCGTCTCGCGCAAAGGGTACTTGGGCTGGCGTCAGCTGGTCTCCGAGCGATTTGACCAGAAGACCCGGTTTGTCGAGACACCTAGATTCAAGAGCAAGAACTCAGTAACTGTAGGGTCGAGGGATCTTCACAGCCCGATGCACTTCCATACCATATCTGCTTTGAGGCTTCTTCTTTAGGTTTGTGTGTTTCAGTTGCGATGGTATCAGCGAGCTGCTCCGCGATACCAGTGCCCGCTGATCCAGATCCAAAGACGACAACACGAGCATCCTCTAATTCGATACCACCCACGTGGAATCCGGACAACAAGGCAGCCAGGGTGACACAGCCAGTTCCCTGAATATCGTCATTGAAGCACGGGATACGCGATTTGAATTTATCCAAGATTCTCTTGGCGTTATGAAGGCCAAAATCCTCGCTAACCGATGTCAGTCAAGCTCTAGATGGATGGCTGCGGGACTTCCTATGGGATATCGACTACTCACAAGTGTATATACGCGCGTGGGAACCTCTTTCGAGCCGTTTCCACAAACTTTTCCACGAACTGATCATATTCCTCGCCTCTGACGCGCGACTGTCGGAGACCCAGGTATAGCTCGTCCGTGAGAAGTGATTCATTCTGCATTCGAGGTTAGTACGTGCCTGGTTGATATTTGTTGCTGCCATACATCTGTCCCACAGTCTAGAACCACTGGCAATTGCCGACTTGGGTGTATCCCAGCACACAACGTGGTCAGGGCTAATTTGGCAACCGAGATCAAGATAGCGCCTACGCCTTGGTCACCAATTCCTAAGATCTGTGGCCGGTTAGACATGTCGTGTATATGTGCATGCTGATAGCCAAATTACCTCTTCGCCATCGCTAACGACTATATAGTCGACTTCTTCGCCGCGGCTGAAATTGGAAAGGCACTCTTCAATCCTGTCTTGGTCCCTGATGTTCAGGAAACAGCCCTCTGGCTTCCGGAACAATCGAGAATAGTTCTGAATTGCATCGCCTTCAGTGGGAGTGTAAATAATGCTGAGCATCTCCTTGAGATGGGTATCAATCAACTGTAACATACGTTAGTTGGACGGTCGTCTTCGATCTTATCTGCAGACGCAGGATGACAGTATGTGTGTTACCTTGTAGTAAAGAACCTCATTCTGCGCCTTCATACTAGCCATAAACGTGTTCTTAGCCAGATCATTATCTCGACTGCTATATTGCTCGTAGGCCCGCTGAACCTGCTCCTCGAGGGTCTGAATGTTGGGAGGAAGCAGACCATGAAGCTTGAATGTTTTGCGCTCCTCCTCTGTAAACGCCGAGCCTTTATTGAACTGGCATGACTGCAGAGCATCTCTCCCCTACAACTGCGTCAACAATTAATTTAGCTACAACTCTCGCAGAAGACATTACCTCAAACGGACACACCAAAGGTCCGGACGAAGCCCGGGGAAGATGACTGAACTTGGAAGATTTCGAGGACGTAGACATTCTCGCGACCGACTTGATAGATGTATGGCGCTGCAGGGATAGAAGGGAAGATGGCGGGTTGGGCTTGAGTCTCAGGAGAGATAGAGCCATTGATTGAAAGAGGGGTCAGAACTGGCTGAAATGGCTTTTACTTGGGGGAGGGGTCCGGGTTATCCCTGGCGATAGAGCAAATTCTTATACCCTGAAAGTCTCCGCAATCTAAGCCTGTTTATCGAGCAGCCGGAAAACCGGTAAGCCGAGTGAAGACGCAGTATAGTCATGGCTTGAGAGGAAACTCTGGTGGAGCAATCAACTCAAAATGACGCTGATACGACTATGACGTAGCGGCGATTGCCGTGAGCTTGTGCTGGCAACACCAAAGGGCCCATCTGCCTTATACTCAGGGGAAGTGATGCAATATGGGCTTCCATTGGTAATTTTCCAGCCTGTATACTTAACACGCCCAGCTCGTCTGAAGTGAAAAGCCGGTTCATTGTGGATGAAAACGAGCGCAGTTGAATGTTCGACGGCATCTCGGACGATGGCACCACCATCCATGTTCCCAAGGCCTTGTCCCGTCCACAGTATAGTGGCATCGTGTCTTCCCAACACCCAATCACGGTTCATTTTTTTGGGCAAGCTACACCAAGGACCCAGGACAAGCTAAGCCACGAATTGATGCAAAAGGTGCATATTGCGTTCCTACCTGTCAAATGGATGGGCCCCTTATCATGCTTATCGGCCATATCAAGTCACATGCCGATAGGTTAGTTAAGACAAGCAATGATGACTCATCACTGGGTAAGCGAGCCTACAAAAAAGCAAACACCTGCGCGCCGGCTGCTCCTGTTTTTCATCTGCTCAGTCGATGGTCATTTCAACCACCATCGGAGCCACAACAACGCCGAACGCGCTGGACAGCAGTTATTGGAGACTCATAATGTGCTAGGTCTTCTTTTCTGTTTCATCTAGTATAGATCTATCGTGCTGCATCGACGGAACACCACCAATACACATATCCAAAGAGAATTGGCACCCCACCGCAACTTTGCAATCCAGCTGTCCCAGGTTGTTAGCTCTGTCTGTTTACAGCCTTTTGGTCTGCAAAATCAGGGTGCTTGAGCTTCCGTCAAGGACTCTCCATTTTGGAGAACAGTCATCGCATGTCACGTCTTGTGACTGTGGCCGACTGGAGCTGGATTGTCGGGACCCTTCGGGGTTCCGGATTTGATTTCTTTTTTCAGGTTGCTAGAGAAATTTCTTAGGGCCTTCATAGTTCATGTTGCTCGCGTTTAAAACTTGCTACGAGAGCATGACTCCTTGCGCACCTACATACTTGTCGTAATCAATTCTATTTGCTTTATATAGATGCTCTCCGCGTGTTATTCTTGAATGCGAATTGAATACTGCTGAATTAGAAGCATTATCAATCCTTTATGTAACCTGTATCACCACCTAATGCGTACTTCAGAGGATTAATATCTACTCTATAGTTTACTCTTCCCGGCAATAGCATCATCATCGATAATCTTCACCACCACCTTCCCCCATGTCTCCCGGCCGCCCAGCGCCTGCAGAGCGCGAGGCACACTCTCCAATCCTACAAAGCTCTCATCTTTGAAAGCCGTGCCCTTGAACTTGCCCTGCGCCACAAGATCAAAGATCCCCTTCCAGACTGTCTGTACCGTCTCCTTCTCAAATCGTGCATACTGTCCCCAATGCAATCCAACCAGACTGACATTCTTCAGCAACACACGATTCAGCGCAACCTTCTCGATCTTTCCCGCTGCAAAGCCAATAACCAGAAGGCGCGCATTCCACGCCACACACTTCAGACTCGCTTCGATCATCCCGACCGGATCATATACGATGTCCACCCCGGCCTTCCCATTCCCCGTGCGATATTGTGCACACAACCGCTTCACCTCCTCCGGCCAGCTCTTCTCCCCATAATCAATGACATGATCCGCCCCGAATTGGCGCGCAATCTGTCGCTTACGCTCCGTCCCGGCCGTCGCAATCACCGTCGCCCCCTTAGCCTTGGCAATTTGCACCGCGGCTAACCCGACGCCACCGGCCGCCGCATGCACGAGGACCCAATCGCCCGGCTGGACATTTGCGCGGTGCACAAGACCACCGTATGAAGTAGGAGCCGTGACGAAGAGGCCCGCTGCATCCTCAAAGCTCCAGCCTGCCGGCACAGGGAGGAGAGTGTGCTCTGGAGCAAGGATGTGGGTAGCGTAGGCTCCTTGTGTGGCGCCAAAGACTCGGTCCCCGACGTTGAATCGTGGGGACTGCGCTTTGGTGGGCACGGCTAGGATGGTACCTGCGAACTCTGCGCCCCCAATCCAGGGTAGTGGAGGCTGGTGTTGGTATTTGCCCTGGATTTGAAGCAGGTCGAAGAAGTTTGTGCCTGCGGAGTGGATCTCAATCAGGTAGTCCGTTGCGGATGGGGAAGGCGTGGGAAGGGTTGCGACTTGGAGATCCTGAGGTCCCTGTATGTTGGGAATGTGAGTCAATTTGTCCGTGGTAGAGCGGTGGCAAATAGTATAGATCAACTTCTCTGTTACTGACCTTGACATATTCTTTTACTTGAATGGCTCGCATGCTGACGACTAAATGATGTCCGTGCTACTTTCTTCGATGAAGCCAATAAATGCAATGTTGAAACGGGGCAAAGAAAGACGGTGAGTGAGGGAGTGAGTGAGTGAGTGAGTGGACCGTCTTGGACTGGGTATTGTGTTGGAGTTGCGGTCTCGATTTGGGGTCAGGACACATTCATTTGGTCTGATGGGACCCAAAGGGGGGGGAAGCTTTCCCCACACCGGGGGTTGAGCCGAGGTCCGTCGTCGGATAACCCAAAGAGGAAACTCTCAGTCGGTACCTAGGTAAGTTACTCTCTTCCTCTGCATCATGAGCCCAGACATCGTCGGTCGATGGATAAATGAATTATATTGTAAAGTCAACTTTATGTAACTAATGCGGGAGGCTGTTGGGTGCACCCTTGTATGATAAAAATATTTGGCATGTTTGAGGGAACCAGTCCTTCATAGGCCGATCGTCCAGTCGATCTAGCCATCAATACATATGATATAGCCCGTACAAACATCATTAACCCCATGCACACATAGACTGACAAAGGAAAATGATACAGAAAATTCCAAACTCCTTGATCCCAAACGTGGATATCATCAAAATCAGCACACTCCACTCCATGATTCGGCACAACCACAATACGCCAGGTATCCCATGATCCGAGTGCCAGTTTCCTTGGTGTACAAGATGTAATGTTCAGATGGCCTGGCTCCTTTCCAGCGTCGCAGCAAAGAGAAGGAGACGGTTCAACTAAACAGCAAAGACGAGAGGCAAAAAGTACAGGTGAGAAGTATAGATCAACCCCAGAAATGTGTAAAGGTAACTAGACCAGTGGATGCAAACCAAGTGTCCAGTATGAGAAAATATTAGTTTCACATAAATTAAGCGACGTGCTCCTGGTAATGCTTTAAAAATCGATGCTCTGAGGCCTGTGCACAAGTGGCTCGGGTCCAGGATATGGGTAAATGGGCGCACACATAGCAGGATGTTGGCCGTGAGGATAGAAGGCCGACGGAGACACGATCCCCATGGCGGGTTGACCGGCCGACTTTGGTTGGAGGGAGGCCTTCCGATCAAGCGGCCGTCTTTGCGGGCCTTTCTGGTCCAATCTCGGATGCCCACCAGCGGTATCCTGAACGTATGGGGCAGACATAGCACGCTTCCATGACTGGGGCCCCTCGTGCAGGTCGGCCATATGTTGCCGCCCGATACTGGAAGGCGGCGGTGTCTGGGGGTGTGGGGTCATCAGGTGCATGGCGGGATCGATAGGAGGACTCAGTGGTGCCGCAGCGTAGAATGGACTGCCAGCCTCAAGAGGCATCGAGTACCACTGAGGGATAGACCACTGGATTGGTCCAGCTGTTGTCGCGGGTGTTTGCATGCAGTCTGTAGTAACAGCAAAAGAAGGGTCATGGAAAGGCGACGCCATGCTAGATGTTTGGTTGGCCAACATGCTGTCCATCAATGGCGATGTGTGCGGCGAGTCATATGAGTTGGAGCTAGGAAGGACCATCACGGAAGATGCGTGGGAAAGATCCCGCTGCTTCTGGGATGGACTCATCATGGGAGCCCACACATTCGAGATATTTTGTCCATCAAGACAAACTGTTGTAGGCAGGTCCTCATGATGCGTGTATGCACCATTGGACATGTACCATTCCGGTTCGGTAACAGAGATGTCAGATGCGACTGAGCGAAGAGGGGGGCGTGCTTTGGGGGAAACTGTGGAAGACTGGGCCTTGGGGGATGCATCTTCTTGACCACTGTCATCTCCGGTAGTCTCCTGCTGGCTATCGTCCGATTTCTTGCGTGTCTGGCGAGAGGGCTTGGTGACCCGCCACTTCTTCAATCTACTCCGCAATTGAGTCTCACTTGGGAGACAGAGTTAGCACACCGGTGGAAACCCATTGAGATATTTTCCGAGAGCCTCTTCTCACCTTGGGTTGAAATCATCGGAACGGATTTGCTTGATGACCTGCTTCAGAGGCCATTCTTCATCCTTGTATAACTTGGCAATCAGAGCCTTCTTTCTCTCCCACACGTCAGATGGGATTGAGTTCTTCATGTTTGGTCACGTCCTAAAGAAGTATATTGAGAGAGAATGGAAGAAGGATAGTGAAGTATGAGGAAGAGAGAGGGAGAGAGGAGAGAGAGAGGGGTAAGGCCTCAGGACTCTTAAGGGTTCAATGACTAGTTGAACCGTATAGAGAGAGGAAAAAGAAAATAGAGAGAGATAAGACACTTGAGAGGCCTTATGAGAAGAGAGAAGGTAGATGATATACACAGATGAGATAGGGAAGAGGAAGATCAGGGATGATATAGTAGGACGATCGGGGAGGATCTCAGGATATATGTACTCCGTAGTCGGGGGGGGTGGTGTCCCATGTAGGAGAAGGAAGAGGGACCGGAGCAAAGTACCCAATAGAGAGAAAGGACCAGTGGGAAAGTCCCCCAGGTACAGACTAAGGTTGTTAGGAGGAGAGGAAGTACGGAGGGAATGAAGTGGGTGTGGATAAGGATCCACGCTGGAGAAAGACGCCATCGCTCCGGCCTACGGGGCTTCAGACTCCATGGAGGAGAGAAAAGAGAGTGGATGAGGGGACAATGAGGGAAGAGAGTGTGAGTGTGAGTGTGTGAGTGCAGGAAGGAGGCAGAAGTGGAGCCCTGAAAAAGAGTGGATATGGACACTGGATGGTGCAAGAAAGAATGGATGGGTCCAGGAAGAGGTACTCCATGAGCGATAGCGACGGGGACGCTCGTGCGCCTCCCCAGCAAAGGCAAAAAAAAAAAAGAAGAAGAAGAAAAAATAAAAAAGAAAATAGAAAATAGGAAAAAAGAAAAAAAAAAAAGGAAGGGAAAAAAAAGGCCAGAGAGAACGAACGCATGGGAGATCGACGATGGCCAGGGAACGGCATCGGCCATGCGGCCCCATTGGGCAAGAACTGAGTGGAGTCCCCTTTCGGCCGGACTTTTTTAGCTGCTTCTGCTGGTGGTGGTACGCCCATTGTCTCGGGTCCTGTCATTCAGGTTTAATCCAGGAGCACTTCTTCCATGGTCTTGGGTTGGGGCCCTGAAGTAAGCTTTCCCGTCGATCCCCGGGTCATGAGTTGGAGAAGCAACCAAAGGCGAATTGCGCATGCAATTCACGCCAGCCATTGCCGCGGATGATGGCAAATGAAGAGAAAGGGAGAATACCCCGGAGGCAAGACAATTGGCTCTTCTTTGCGTCGTAAAGAGGAAGAAGGTAAGGATCACCTATCTCTAACCACCGGCACTGGCTTTGGCACGCACTGGTCTGTACCATTCGATCTCCTATCTTTTATCTTCCTCTCCCATTCTTCTTCTAGTTCACCTTATCCGATAACCCGTGGTAGGCAGTCATGGATCAGGTACCCAAAACCAACTCTTGGAGTCTCCATCGCTGCCTTCTTCTTATCGATGTGTGGTGACTATATTACAGTATCAATACTGCTAGACTTTTACACTGCGCAAGAATGAAATAAGATATGAAATCATGATAATAATAATCATAATAAATAATGGAACCTGATGGATCATCTTTCTCTCCAAGGTAGACTAAGTAAGTACCTAGTAGTTAATCGCGGGATATCTTGTCAGTCAGTTCATATGTCACCTGCTTGCTTCCTTTTTCTTTCTTTCTCTTTATGTCGTCCTGCTGCACTTGGGTCTTTTGGCCCCTCCTTTCTGCCCCGTCTTGCTCCGCAACACGTTGTTCTCATTGGGCTGCTTGGTTGTCATCCCGCCAATAGTGCCAGTTGACTTATACATCCTTCACTAAACTACTACTACGGAGTACTACTTACTACGTACTTGCTAAAGTTCTTTCCGTTCTCCCTTGCTCCATGTCAAACTGACGGCTCCTTCAATCGCCTCCCCCTGGCAGTTTGCTTTTTCCTTTTTCACATTTCGCTCTGCATTTTTTTTTTCTTTCAAAATTAATTTACTAGAATTATTACCTTTTTTGAATTTATTTTACTGTCTTACTTTTCGCCTGATGCGCGTATCTCTATTTGCTCCTCTACTTATTAAAGACTCAGATCGATCTAGTCTTAAAAATTGCACAATGGATGTACTCCGAATTTGGTATGGATGGTCTGATCAGACAAACCCAATCTTCTGCTGTGATCAAGAGGATGGGTGGGAAACCGCTGAAGGAGGGAAATTAACGGATACTGAGATCATGGATGGGTGATGCCCACGTTCCCAAGCACACCACAAACACAAATCCAGACCCCGGGGACGGTACTAGGCACCTTGTTCGCCATCGCGGGCGATCTCTCTAGTAGTACTTACTTACTTGGTTAGTCCGTTCATTCGTCCTTAGTCACCCCTGGCCTTACCGTACCTAGTGCGCCGTACTTTAGTGCGCGACTTAGTGGCCCTAAAGGAGGATCTCTCCTTCCGATCAGGAGTCTAAACTGGGTCGGGAACTTGGCGCATCTGTCGAACTGCCTGTTTCGGCAGGCAGGTGACTGTGATGGAGGCAACGGATCCGAAGAGAAAATCAAATTCACCCTTTCCACTAACTAAATATACACTGGCCTGATTAACAACCTAAGAGTATCTACTACACTTTACCTACCGGAGAGGATGTCGCAGATAGAACTAAAGTAGTGCGGGCGGAATAGATGTAGATGAGATCCGGCACAGGCCAGGATCCTTAGTTGCTTGCCTAGTACCTTGCTACAACCCCTACTACACCTGTTGGTGCATCGGGAGTTGACAAAGAGCTACGGGGGGCGAGCTGCAATGCCATGCAATGCCATGCGCGGTGATGCGATATTTGGTACCTTGGTTCAGCACGAGCTGATTGGTATCTTCTCCGATCGCGCTGCTGATGAAACTTGGGGGATCCAGCTGATGGTTAGTTAGTGATCGGTCCGTTTGACTCATTGGATCGGAAATTCCCTCGATCAATTCGAACCACTCCAAGGGTAGCCAGTGTAATGGTGGGTTTATGCCGTAAGAGACTATCAAGTCATCCCACATGAGGTACATCACGGTATCTTGTATCTAAGATTAAAATACTACTGCCTAGTAAGTACTGAGTGAGGGTTTCCGGGAGAGTTGATTGGTAAATACCTACTAATACTTGTAACTCATTACTTATACTGCTCGTCAAATTGGGGTACCCGCCAGCTAGGTCTACTATCGATTGTTCCGCTTGAAGTAATTGTTTCTTTTTCATTTTTGTTTAGACTTTCGTTATCGTCAAGTAGTTCTCTGGTATGTTATCTCTTGTCTATATTCTGCAGCAAATGCCATTTTCCGGACGTTACCGTGTGTGTTGTATCTCCGTGGAATGCCGCAGGCATGGTGGCCGAAACCAATTTGACAGCTTTCTCCTGGGTCTGGTCAACTGTCGTCAACTGGAACCTGACAAAGCAGGAGGAGGTGCTATCTGTGGCCACTGCTCTCATTTCCCCCTCATCCGTTCTTTGTCAAACTCTGGTCCATCGCCGCAGATGGGGCGAGTCTGGTTACGGGAAGTAACCCGGCAGCAGAATGTTTCTCAGCCGCAAAGCAAGCCAGCAAGCAGAAAAGTACGCCCAACAGGAGGCAACATCGGCTGAAACTCCCAGAATGATTATGTTTTTCCTGCATCTTCTTTCAATGCGACATTTCTTTGCTGGGTTACGTGCACTGCCAGTGTCTTCATTCTTTCTTCATTCTTCTTTCCCCTTCCGAGCTGTTCGGGGGGAGCTGAAGGACCAGAAGCAATTATCTACGTACATACATGGCTGCATCGATCTCGGCAGTCACAATGCATATTCGAGATTTACTGCACCTGGGAGATACGATGTATGAACCTCCACACGGACCAAAGTACCAAGGGGCGATGATAATCTTACAGCTGGGTCGAGTCCTCGCCCACTGCTCCTGCAAAAAGAGTCGTACATGCGTCTCATCCGACACGAGCTGTAACTAACTAAGACATTGATATGATATGTAGTAACTTTGCATGTCGGTAAATATGCCGCTTTCTTCCTAGTATTACCAACAAAACCCTGTCTGTAGATCAGACTCATTTGACGGCGCTTAAACCGGAAGATCAAAACCTGACCAGGTAAGAGCAGGTGAAAGGCTCAAACAAACTCTAGCCGTTAGAAACTCTTTTTGTTGTTATTGTTATTATTATTATTATTATTATTATTATCATCATTATCATTGTTTTAAAAAAGATGCCATTCATAGCTTCGAGGCCTGACTCAGGTTTCAACACCGAATTCAGGGAGGTAAAGGTAAATAAGAAGCCTCGGATAAAAGGCCGACCTCCAGCGGAATTCCACTAACACTGGAAGGGAAATCACGCCTAGGCTGCACTGGCCAGTGCAAATTTACCACCGTTCACGCGCTATCGATGATTGTGCTGAACTGCGGCCAGTGCCAGCAGTGCCAGGAGATGTAGGGGGAAATAGTGTGCAGACTAATGCCACCTAGTTCCTGACGGTAGTGGAGTGCGCAATCTGTCCCGCCAGCAGCATCCTCCACCACCACTTTCTCCCACAGTACTCTTGTCATCATCACCACCACTTCAATTTCACCTAACTATCTATTCCTGCCCCTTCCGGGTCTCAGGAAGGGAAGAACTAAAATTGCCCCAGACGCCTCTCGCGGTGGAGTTGTCTTGAATCACACCAGGAGGTCGGACGCTCAAAATGATCTGGGGAGGCAGAGGGGGGCAAATCCATCTTTTGCTGAGTGGATCTGCCACTGATCTTCCCGAGGCCCCTCCCCTCGATAGATTGTGGCCGTCTTTCTTGTCTTGCCCGCCCGGATTTCACCTTTCGGACCGGCCCAATCCAAAGCTGCAAGACACCCCTCCGAAGAAGGCAACCTCCTTCTGCTCAATCGGGTCCAGCTGCGGTTTAGATGAGATTTCTAGCATGAGGGGTTTACCAGCTCAAACGCCCACCAGGCTTCTTCTCGCGCGCGGTTTTGCGGTCTTTTTTTCTCTCTCTCTCATTAAATGCCGATAAGGTTGCACCCTACAGATTTCTGATACATCACCTCGGGGATTGCCTGATGCGTAGCTCCGCGGCAACCACCTTAGGCGGCGTGGTACCTTGACGAGCGATCAGGACGAAGCCCTCCCGCTACAATCCGTCCTTAATTAATTACAGCAAGCGACTGGTCACATTGCCACCCTCGTGCGAGGGACGCACTCCACAAGCGAGCACTGACCTTCGGTTGCTGGTTTGTCTATCGCAAAGTTCCTCTGCACTCTGCAGGTGTTTAATTTGGGGTCTTCAGGGCGTGCGAACAGGAGATGGCCGATTTCAGGAAAAAGGAAGAAGGAAAAGAAAAAGAGGACTACTGCATCTCGTCGGCTGCCCCGTCAAGCGTCAATAGGCCCATCTAGTCGCTTTGTACAGACGGGAAAGCAGACCGCGAGCCTTCGGAACGGATGATTTTCACACTCCCGTCACCGTGGCTGGCTAGGGTGGAGGCCAAGGAGGCGTGGGTGCACCACTCAGGCCTCTGGGTCCGGAGTAATTCCAAAGGGAAAAACCAAAAAGACAGAGTGAGGAAGGAAGAAAAAGAAAATGAATGAAAAGCTAGCAGGTTTCCGGAATGTGCCCCTGCGTCTATCATGGCAAGGGTGTGTACCTGCGTCTAAGGTCATTCGCCCACCGGATGGCAGATCCGCTGTTCCCTGCGACAGGATACTAAGTAGACACAGCAAATGCAACTGGATGTACGTAAGTACTACTATGTAATAAGCTAAATCGGCACTTGTATGGAGTTTCTTTGCGGTAAAGTCAACAGCTATACCGTGCTCAGCCCCAATGGAGCGCATGACGGGCATCTATGCGACAGATAGAGGCTATAGATAGTACAGGTAAGTCTAGGATAGATTAATTGCAGTGAAACTGTATGTGAGTATGGGAAGGTTTGGGGTTTGAAGCAGGCTGTGAACTCCGTCTGTTATGGTTAGATTGCTTGGTTCTTATTTTTATCTTGAATCCCTGTCTGAACATGGACGCTAAGCATAGGGAAACCGATTCCACCTAGCTTTCCCATCCCAAGGGATCAAGGAAAGCAAAACCTGCAATTACTCTCGACGTATGAGGACGGCGGTTGCTCTCCAACTCATGTTCCTCCCGGAAGTTCCTCGGCTACTCTCCAGCATGATTCGAGCAGGTGTGTCTGTCTACTTCTCCCCACCAACAAGGAATGACGACCGTGCATCACGACGGTCAACAACAATAATCACGGTGTTCTGACTGGCCAACATGCGCTTATCCTGAGATCCGAAGCCCACGTTTTCCGAAACCTTCTTCGAGGAAGGGGGGATTCCTTTTGAGTTTTCGGTGGCTATACTACTTTCGTTGGACTCCTCCGAGCCTGTCAGTCACTCAGAGTTGGTCTGTTGGTCTGTCTCAAACGGCCATGGTCACTTTTGCTCCTGACCAGCTGCCAGGATACGCTTTTAGGGGCACGGTCGTTTCACCATCGCCAGGGCGAAGATCCCAAGGGCTTTCTCAATGGCCCCCAGTGTCCTACGGTCGGATCCGCACGTGGACTGGTCCTGAGCCTAAAGGTTGTTATCAAACAATCGACGATGATCTTATGCAGCGTGTAGTCCTTCTTGTTGCATCCATATTACTCTCTCTTAGCGGACTCAGCTATTCCCCATCTTGGTCGATAGCAGGCGTTCCTCGGAATGGCAACAGCTCCTCACTGGAGAAAGCCGGGGTGAGCAAATCAGCAATCTGCGTTCATCGGAAGCTGACTATCGGAAGTTGATGGGCGCCGAAGAAACTCCGGGTAATCCAATCCTTCTCCCAGCCCATCCCGGCCAGAACCCCCCGATGGGGAATCCAGACGTTTGAAGCTGGCGAAGATCATGATGTAGGTGGATGGTACGTGGAAATGAACTGGCAACAGGATCGTCCGCTAAGGAGTCACATGGCCTCTTCTTGCCTTGCGGTCGCAGGAGTAGATACACTCTGTGTCCTGTGCTGTCACTCCTACTCCGGCTCATCTCAACTTCGACTCGGTCTGGGCTTCCGATGGGTGCTACTGGACTTTCATTTCCTCGTCCCCAGTCGAAGACCCGCCTTGCAGATCATAGCATGATAACAGGGAATAGTCCGTTCACTTTTCTAGTTAGTCCTGGTCCATCGTGCTATCTAGTTTCTGATTCGGTTTGGGAGTGAACCGGACTATCTCCTCTAAGCTACTGCTAACGATCCTAATACTAAAGTGGTTCGATTGGTTAAGCTCGAGTCTAGGAATTTCAAATCACCTCCAGCGAGCAATCACCACTCGCCATTTTCCTTCAGCCCCAACGGTTCTCCCCCACACGCACACAGACTAATGCAGCTGGAGGATCATTTTCCGCGGAGCTAGTATCCTTCCAGATGTCCATGGAGCAATCTTTTCCTGAACCGTTCTCTCGAGGCCACCAGGTCCAGCAACTGTACCGAAATGAGGGGGAGATTCGCAGAGGCAGCAGCTTAAACTCAACAACTCTCCGAATCAGTATACATCTCCGTCATGGGGAAAATTTAGACTTTCGTCCGAAAATCGCCAAACGGGCGTTTTCCCGTTTTCGGAAGTACGCTGGGGCTTCATGGCTCAACTGACATTATCGTGGTTTGTTCATGCCCACGAGGAAACTCAAAGTCGTGTGCAGCCTTACATCGACCACATCGCTCACCCAAGGACTTCTCCAGTCCGGTCTGGTAGCGGATCAGCCAGCCATTCACTCCCTTCGGCGGCTTCCCCAACTCCAGGTTGCTGATCAGTGGGGATCCTCGATCAGGAGCTGGTCAGGTGAAGGGGTGAACGAATAGGTGGACGTATGTGTCTGCGTGCCTTGTCCTCCCAGGGTTCAATCCGAGCTCGTGGCGGATGTTGGAGACAGCCGTTGCGCCGGGCGTGCATCTGGTACGACTCCAATTGCTTTCAATCCTCGGTTCGGGAGAATCTTGGGTCGATCAAGGCCTTCTCGTTGGTCAACCAACCACAACACCATGGTGCGTCATCGGAGGCTTGCTGGCGATTGAATTCACGTGGATGCGCGTGGATTTCTTCACGGATTAATCAGTCGCTCGGCAGTGCGGTAGCCCCTAAGTCCCGGAATTAACGGCGTACCATGGTACGCACATCGCTCTATCTGAACCTTCTAAGATGGGGAAGTATCCAAAGGTCTGGGGGTATAGACAATTCTATTCGGAACCCAGGGCAAGTACGCTCGAGGCGACTTGGCCGAGACAAGCATTATCTCCGCTATTACTCTCCTCTGCACACCAGTTCGCAGTCCTGACCATAGAGGGTTAGACTATTGACCAGCACGAATCATATGGAGCCCGTTTCCATCTCATAGTCTACATGCTAAGATAGTATGCACGCGGTGCCACTTTTTCTCTTGCCTAATCAGACATAGCAGCCGTTCACATTGGCCCTGAGGTGCATAGGTTTCAGAAATAAACTTCAGGTACTGGGTACATACATGTGGATCTAAACTCTAACTACCTTAGGCTGACCTCTCGCCTTCCTTCTACTCCTCCTCACTGTTTGTATTATTCGACAAGCCCTCCAAAGGAATCTGGATCGAGGTGGTGCCGACGACCTTCCTCTCAGAGTTTATTCCACCCTCCTATCGGCAAATTAATATACATGTCTGAAACCATCACTCCACCCTCATACCAGCAACGCTCCCATCCTCGGAGTTCCAAACACGCACATCCTCACTTGCGGGACTTATTGTTGGTCCAGCCATATGCAAGACGGGGGTGATGTGACACAACCAGCGGAGACGAGTGTCAAGAGTCTAGCCTACCCCCAAACCACATGGTGAGCGACACTTGTTAGCATCGCTTCCTGTGCGAGACTAGCCCTGCCCTGGCCAAAACCCATGTGGCAGGTCAGAGAGAGGGGGGGGGGGGGAAAGCAGGGGTTGTCACAGATGTCCGTGTTTCACAAACTCTTTCAGCTACCCACTCAACGCCCGTCATTCTCGTCAATCGGAAATGTCAACAAGTTGGGCAATAGACCCTGGAATTGGAAACACTCGTGGCTGTAGCCCAGAAGACTGGTCCAGTCGAAAGTGGTTCCTCTCGCAGATTAACATGTTTGGAACAAGCTCAACATGGTCGTGGCTTGAAGCACGGGATCTCGGAACTGGGCGAGGACGAATGAACATGAGTCATTTTCTCTCTACTCGACTAGCCAGGGTAGGTTACAAGTCACAGTAGGGCCTTCCTTATACTTATCTTATCCCATCTATTCATGTCATAAATTAGTGACAACATTCGGATGCGATATCGGAGCCGAGAGAACCAGTACCATCGTCAAGTGGTTTACCCATCATAATCAAGTACATATGGAGTGACATTTAAGAGATAGAAGAAGGAACAGAAATAAAGCGAGGATATACCGTGTACAAAGTATTCATCTTTCTCTTCGTCTTTTTGGAAAAGAGGATAGGAAAGGTGATTCTATCGTCCCCAGACACACGCACATTCAAAGAAAAACGCCCGCTAATCACTAGTCCGAATGATACTTTCCATCACTGTCCACTATCGAGATGTGAGGAGGAGAGGGGCAAAAAAGGGGGCAAAAGAAAATAAAGTAAATAAAGTAGTCATTCCAATGCGTGCACTGGACAGATAGTAGAGACTTAACCGAAGGGCAAGGGAAAATATAAAGAAGAGAGATTTTAAGCAGAAGGAAATATCATCATGCGAATACAATTACATAGAGACGTCGACCAGTCCTGATCGATCGTCCAGTCGTTAGCCTCTCAATACATTCATTCCACCGATCCCGTCCATTCCCATAGCGTGCCGCATGGAACTTATCTTGCCCCATTTAAATTATATCAACGACGCCTTTTACGGAGCCGGTGCTCCTTGCCTTTCTTGGACTTCTTTTTGCTCTTATCCGCTGGTAAGACAAGTGGTTCGTCCTTCATATTCCACTCCATAAACCGTAGTAGGTAATTATCGATATGGCCAGGTTGGGGCTCGACGTCTACGGGTTCGTCGACCGCATGCACCTGCGGTGAGGTGAGTAATTGTGGACCGGGAGTGGTGTTCGCTGTTGTTGATTCATCGGGCCCGGTCATGGGCCCAGTTGCCAGCGGTGTGCCGGCCTGGGTTTGGCCAGGTGTGCGGTCGTCGAAGTCGCCGTCGTCCGCGTGTTCCAATTCCTTTTGTGCATTCTTGGCCGCATCGATATCTTCTTTGTCTTCGGCTTGTTCGAAAACACGTGAACTGGCTGCGACGCGGTTCTCGAGGACCCGATCCATGGCTGCGCTGGCTTCGTCGTGACCTTCGAGGACGTCTTCAGTGTCAATCATATCGCGGACGTCTAGTTTAGTGAAGTAATCCGTTGTAAACTCTCCCTCTTGGATAACGACGTCGTCAAGCATGCGCTTCTGGTTGGCTTTACGGAGGATGTTTGATTCAATGGTATATTCAGAGACGAATCGATAGATGTGCACGTCGCGTGTTTGCCCGATACGGTGACAACGATCTTGACACTGCTTGTCCATCGCGGGGTTCCAGTCTAGGTCGTAGAATATGACGGTGTCAGCACCTGTGAGGTTGATACCCAGACCACCGGAACGACTGGACAAGATAAATGCGAGGATACGGTTGTCGTTGTTGAACCGATCGGTAAGGATCTGACGCTGCTCAACTTTCGTCGTACCGTCTAGACGGAGGTATCGGTGTCCGTGAATGTTAAGGAACTGTTCCAAGATGTCGAGCATCTTGGTCATCTGGGTGAAGATCAAAGCTCGGTGGCCACCCGCTTTGAGGTCCCGAAGCAATTTATCGAGTCTTTGCAACTTGCCACAGTCGTACTGCAAAAGTCTCTTGTCGGGGAAAGCGATCGAAAGACGCATCTGTGCCTCGTGAAAGGGGTCGTATGGCGGGAACCGTTCCTTCTTCGTGAGATACCTCGTCTCTATGGGAGTCAGGGCAGCCTCGGTGATACCAGTCGCCACGGCAGCAGGGGTAACGCAAGCGAATCTCTGAACATAACCGTCCATTGCCTGGGACCGTTCTTCAATGGACAAGATCATCGATGCGAGGACTGACGACTGGCTCGACAGCCAGTCGGCTAAGGAGCGTTTCCGTAGGGGCCCGTTGGCGGTGGGCCGCTGCTTACTGTCGGCCGTGAGAAATTCGATGAGACTTGATCCGTACACCGGACGACGACCATGGCGCTTTGACTCAAAATAAAGACATCTCTCGAGCTCTGCCATCCTCCTTTTCCTGGACTCATTCTCCAGAGCGTCTAGTGTGGACTGCACCGTGGTACCATCGAAGCTCATCTGCCAGTTGGTACGGTGATACTGGCGTTCCCTGAGCGTGTTGAAGGGACCATAAGCCATGAGACGGGTACTGTCATCGGCCAACCGCCGAGAAATATCTTCTCGGGATATGGGTACTAGGTTGAGGAAATCAAGGTCGAGCTTGGTGAGTGGATGCTCATACAATAGGCGCCGACGGACGAGAAGGTCTTTGATCTCGTATTCCGTGACCACAGAGCGAGACATGGCAAACGACGTAGATATGGGCCGAGTTTCGAAGAGGTCGGGATGATTGCACACCTTCCGTAGTTGCATTAGACAGTTGATGATGGACAGGTAATTTCCAGACGCAAGCGTCTCCTTGGTCTGTGCGCGAGACATAAAGCCATCATAGAGGAATCTTTGACGCTTCGAGAGTCTGCAATAAACGACATGTTCGTACTTCGCCGGCATCTGCTTCTCCACATCGGCTTTGAGACGACGCAAAATGTAGGGTCGGAGTACAGTGTGAAGCTTGGTGACCACTCGCTTTGCTTCATCATCCATTGTCTCCCTGCCATGCTCCAAGATCTGCTCCACGGGGCGTCGGAACCACTCAGAAAAGTTCCTGAGATCAGCGAACCCTTCGATCCCTTCCTCATCGCCATCAGAGGGCATCAAGAAGAATAGCAACGACCATAGTTCAGTCAGATTGTTTTGAAGCGGTGTGCCAGTTAACAAGAGTCGGGCTCGTGTCCTGAAAGTGAGCAGTGCCTGCCACCTTTGCGAGCGGAAGTTCTTGATGTTGTGTGCCTCGTCAAGAATCATATAATGCCAGCTTCTTCTTTTTAGGACTTGCTGATCCTGGAGGACTAGTTGGTAAGAGGTGATCAACACATTCCAACTCGTATCATCCATCCAGCCCTTTCGCTTCTGTCGACGCTCCTCTTGGTTTCCGTAATAGGTCATGATTTTGAATCCGGGGCACCACTTCTTAAACTCCATCTCCCAGTTGAGAATCACACTAGTAGGCACGACGACTAAGTGTGGCCCCCAAACCTCGTGCTCCACGGCCAAGTGCGCCAGAAGCGCTATCGTTTGGATTGTTTTACCGAGGCCCATTTCATCTGCCAGGATGCCATTGATGTGGTTTGTATACAGGCCAGCAAGCCAATCCAGACCGAAATGCTGGTACTCCCGCAGAGTGCCTCGGAGAAGGTGCGGCACCGGGGTCTTCAATCCGGGAGCAGGGGATTCGCTGGGCTGTGGGTGTTTCTCCGGTGTTTCGTACGAGGAGATGGATTCGGGCTCCGATGGCTTGGTGACGAGCGTGCCCGGTGATGCTTCACTTGAGGGCTCGCCGCTTTGGTAAGCTTCGTGGCGGGTGTGTTCATGCTCTTCATGGGGGTTAGTCTGAGCCACTGCATCAGATGCGTCGGGCAGAACTGCGTCCCCGTTGTAACTGGCGTCTGTCATCTCAACATCAGGTGTTTTGTCCGCGGCTGGAGTAGGCGCGGGAGTCAATTCTGACGCAGATTCAACAGCAGCCTTTGGCTCAGCATCAGCAGTTAAATGAACAGCGGAGTCGGGGGCAGAAGGGGACGTCGGGGCTGGATCAGGCTCGGGCGCAGAAACGGCTTCCTCTTCATCATTGAGTATCGACATTTCTAGCGTCGGTCCATTAGGCACAAGGGAGACTTCATCAGGATCTTCCGGTTCCTCTTCCTCCTCCTCCCCATCCTCCCCAGCCGATGCTAGTTTGGTATCTAAGTCGTCGATAATGGCATTATCTCCACCATCAACATCGCTCTGCGATCCGCCATAGTTCGTTGCTATGTCCTTGGAGGAGAAGAAACCTAATAGCCCGGGTCCATCACTCTCTGCATCGGAGTCGGGCTCGTCAGATTCATCCTCATCGGTATCGCCCATATCATCATCCATATCAGTGGACTCGTCTTCACTGTCGTCCAGGAGCACGGGATCCACATCTTCAAGCTCTGGTTGCACCTCTGCCGATGGATCGAGAGACTCAGTAGCACGGTCCACAGAACGATCAACTTCTGAGGTGTCACTCTCGTCGGAAAATGCTGTAGCATCAGAGACCACGGACTCGTGGTCAGAATCATGGTTGGTGTTGGGTAAATTAGCGTATTTCAACCGCAGTTCCTCTGCTGTCAAGCCTTCGTCATCATCTACATTATTTTCATCTTCACTTTCTGAATCGGTCGACGACATATTGTCTTCATCTTCCGAACCACCCGAAAGCTCATCCGAATCCTCCTGTTCTGCATCACTGGTATCGGGTGCGTCGCTCCCACCTTCGCCGAGAATCTCCATGCGTCTTTTCTCAAAAAGCATTGTAGATTGCTTGATAGCACGATCCAGAGCTTGCTGATCTTCAGCCTTCCGCTCCTCCTCCCAGCGTGCCAGGCGCATCCGATCCACCTCCGCTCGCGCAAGGTCGAACATTTTCTGGAGATCCTTAGCCAGCTGTTTGCGCTTCCCACGCATTTCCTCCTGCTGTTCCCGGAGGATGTCCTCCGGATCCTTATTGCGCTTCCGCCACGCATCCGCGCACCACTGAGCGAATAGCTTGGCCGTATTTCGATGACGTCTGTGTTCCTGGTCGAGAAGCTTCTTGAAATAGAGAGCGTGCGCGACCAAATGGTCTTGGTGGGAGTATTGCTGGGGAGGTTCCTCTTGTTGCTCGGGCAAGTATGCAGAACAGACATCTGGACTTAACAGTCCGCCCGGTTCAGCTGCCACAGCTATTCGACGCCTCTTAAGAGCCTCCTCAAGTGCGTCAACTGGTGTGAGCACGGATGGATCCCTTATTCGCCCGTCATCACTCTCCAACCATTCCTTGAATGAGCCATACTTCCGCGGAGCTAGAACGTGG